TGGCTTACGGGAGAACAGACTGACCGGCGCATGCAAGGATTGACGGATGGACGGACGTACTGATGGAAAGGTGGTCGGATGGACGGATGGACGGATGGACGGACAGATGGACGAATTGACGGATGGACGGACAGATTGATGGATTGATGGATTGATGGACTGATGGACTGATGGACTGATGGACTGATGGACTGATGGGACGGATAGACGGATGGACGGATGGACGGATGGACGGATGGACGGATGGACGGATGGACGGATGGACGGATGGACTGATGGACGGATGGACGGATGGACTGATGGACGGATGGACTGATGGACGGACGGACGGACGGACGGATGGACGGATGGACGGATGGACGAATAGACGGATGGACGGATGGACGGATGGACGGATGGACGGATGGACTGATGGACTGATGGACTGATGGACGGATGGACGGATGGACGGATGGACGGATGGACTGATGGACGAATAGACGGATGGACGGATGGACGGATGGACGGATGGACGAATAGACGGATGGACGGATGGACGGATGGACGGATGGACGGATGGACTGATGGACGAATAGACGGATGGACGGATGGACGGACGGACGGACGGACGGACGGACGGACGGACGAACGGACGAACGGACGGACGGACGGACGGACGGACGGACGGACGGACGAACGGACGAACGGACGGACGGACGGACGGACGGACGGACGGACTGACTGACGGACGGACGGACGGACTGACTGACTGACTGACTGACTGACTGACTGACTGACTGACTGACTGACTGACTGACTGACTGACCGACTGACTGACTGACTGACTGACTGACTGACTGACTGACTGACTGACTGACTGACTGACTGACTGACTGACTGACTGACTGACTGACTGACTGACTGACGGACGGACGGACGTACAGCCCGACCGGCCTGTAGCACTTCAGTGGCCTTTTTCTAGATATTCATTGTGATTCAAGTCCAGCATTCTAACTAAATATCATTCCAGCGTTTGTTTGACTGCATGGCAGCGTGTGTGACCTCAGATCTCTTCTAATGTTGAGATACTCATGTTTTATTCCAGCAGGGACATGGACAGAATTGTGCAACCTCTCTAAAGTAAACATTTTTGTGTTTGCACAAGTCAATCCCTTCCAGCACGGAGCCATAACCTTTGGTTCTGACATCCACAGGAAGACAGTGAAGGCTCTGAGTGAAGACGAGTGATGAAGTGATGAAAAGGCGCTCGGCGAGGTCAGAGGTAAAGCACGGATGGGGTCCAGCTTACATCCAGGACCTGGTCCAGCCCGACATCCCGACCCGCACTCTCCGCTCTGCATGTGATAAACTGCTTGTTCCTCCTCACTGAGAGCAAAACACTCGACTAGATCTCCACTCTCTGCTGTCCTGCTCCTAAATGGTGGAAGGAGGTTTCTGAAGACATCAGGACCACAGAGAGCCTTCACGTCTTCAGACTAAAGACACACGTCTTCAGACTCTACCTCCACTAACACACTAACTAACTGCAGCACTGACATTGGACTTATAATGGTTCTTATCTACAGCAAGTTGTACATCGGCTTATTTGTGTGTAGCTGCTGCAGAAAGAACACACAGGTCAGGATCACCTTCCGAACAATCTCACCACTTTATGGGGAGAAGAGTCCGAGCATTCTTCACATTCTGCCCCTCTGAAGTCTGGAGCTCAGATCGCTGACATTTGTCCAGAGACACAAGCCAGAAAAAGGCTCGAGGCCCGTGAGTGAGCGCGCAAGACGTTTCCTAAACTTTCCTCCACCGTCTGCCTGATACTCCGAACCCGCCAGAACAAACAATTAGCTGTGCTTTCTCAGGAACCACACCCGGGCGGGCCGTGTTCAGCACAGGCACAGGCGAACCGGTGCTCCACCGTCATTGGCTTCAGAGCGGTCGGAGAACGACCTCGCCGGCACGCGGCCGACGGGAGCGAACCGCTCCTTCTCATCTCAGTGCAGTTGCCTGAAATAGTGCAAATGAACGTTTGAATCAGATGTTTGGACGAGAGGACCAACATGTACGCTTGGCTTTACTCGGGTGGAGCGTCGGAGCGCTGAGGTATTGTTTAGTCATCACCGTGACGTTGCTCTGCAAACAGGGATTGAAGATGTTGCAACATCTGGCTCGCTCTCTGCCCAAACATGTGTGTACCTTTCGACAAAGCGAAGAGCGCCTTCTTCTTCTGACAACTTCAGCATTTCTAAACAATAAAAAGACTCACGAGCTGCTGCAGTCTGGTCTGATCTGGCTGCTGTTTTTCACAACGTCCACAGGCTCCAAAATGCTGTGGTCTTGTTTTCAATCCAAGTTCTAAATACTAAAAAGTAAAACGTTGTGGAGGAATGTGAGGGCGCAGGTCCACTTCCTCTTCTACCCGACCGCAGAGTTCTCCAGAATAACAACATGATGGCGGAAATGATGAGGAATAAGACTGAAGACAAAGACCTGTCTCTCTGTTATCTGTCTCTCGGACATTATTATATAACATGTTCGTGCAAATGTGTCACATTATTACTCTGCTGGCACTATTTCCCCTTCAAACCACCCAGGTGAGAGGTATATATACTTATTTGTGTATATATCGATCAAAGAATCAAAGAATTGTACTTTCTGCAAATATATAAAAAGTATACAAAAGTCAGCTTTCACCTATTTTACAAATTCAACTTTAAACACACTATACAATAATTGTACTATAGTATACTTTAAAGATATCTATTATAAGACATATACAAGTAAAAGTGCAATTACTTAAATATACTTGAAATTAGTAAGAAAACAATTCATGCAATTTTAATATATTAATTGTATTATTCTTTTGGAATGAGAATAAAGGTATGACTGTTCAAATGCACAAAAGCACATTTAAAACATCTATTTTTCATATCATACATATTCCTCATGCTTATATTTCAGTACGTTATGTGTACATTCAGATAAATGTTAATTATAGGTGTATTAGTGTATTATTGTATTAGAATTATTGCCCTTTTATAACCTTTCCAATTGTTTAAATGATCAGATTGTCATAAAGCACACAGATAGCTACTTTAGCGATTGTGTTTTTCAAATAACTTCCTTGTGCTCACATTGAAAATAAAATGGTTCCATTGCTTGTTTGTCACAGCGTTGACTGGTGGCCTTGTGACCTGCACGGAGGAGTTAACGGCATCGGCGTCGCAGGGTGATCATTTTGAGCGACCACACCCGTCACTGGATCATCAGGTGACGCCGAGCGGAGCTTCCTCGCGTCACAAGTTCCACCCGGATGTGCCGCTGAATCGGAGGAGTTCTCAGAATCCCTGAGATGGAAGAAAGTAAGATCTGACCTTTGGCCTTTTCTCGATGTCAAATTCAGCTTTACGAGAAGAACAGAATCTTGGAGCCGATCTCACTTGGTTCTGTTGGTCTTCACAGGCAATTTCGCCACATACCGGCCAAATTATCCACAGGCTTCACGAGGTCGCTGGCACCGAGCCGGGGAAATGTTCATCGCACATTGTGAGCAGGTCCTGGAGAGCTGCTCCTCAGTTCATATGACAGAAGAGCAATGAGATGATGAGGAGGGCCTCCAGTTAAATGTACGTGGCATATCTATTGTTCACCCGGGTCCTTCTTGTATTTGCTATATTACCTTCGGACAAAGCTAGAGCTAAGCTAAGCTAAGCTAAGGATATTTACCAAAAGGGTGAAATAGTGCTTTGCATCTTCACGATACCCTTATTGTTGAATTTCTTTTATCGGCCAAGTAAATGTCCTTTATCTAGTTAGTAATTCATCCATTCATCCGAACCCCTCGTTGCACATGAATGCACCAGGGTCTGAATCGCACAAATTGGTGACGCAAGACTCAATGCCCCATTTTCCTTGTTTTCTCTCCGTATTCAATTCTGCAACTTCTTCGCAACGGCTCGCCTGCTCATCCTGAAGAAGTGGGTTATTTTGAGCACGTTTCAGCGGGGGAGGAAGCGAGCGCGCAGCCCTTTCGCTTCTCCGGGATAAATACAAACAGACACAGCCGGGACACGCGGGGCACGTTAGCTACGCCGCGCTTTGCTCCCCTGGAGCAACGCGACAGAAGACAACGCAGCAGTAAGGACACGAGACAACAGATGATTACAAGTCCTCGTGTTTAACCACTTTTGTGTTTAATAAGAAAAATGCATTCATTTTCCTTTTTGTTGTAATATTTGCTTTGCCATTCAAATCTTCTAAAGACTGTAAACAATTGATGGAATCTTAAATTGGAAAGCTCATTTGACTTCTGCTGGTCTAAAAACAGACGTTTTTCGGCGTCATGCATTTGGGTCAAAACAACAACAACAACAACAACAGCGCTTCTGTAGCGGCGCTCTTGGAGGAGGCAGCAGTGAGCCGCTGAGCCCGTGTGTTTGGGTGTGTGCGCTTCCAGGCTGAACAGAAGCTCTTTTACTCTCCGGCAGGTTGAAGGTTCCAACGACAGCAAAGACTCCTCAGAGAGGGTGGAACCCCCCCCGGGGAACAAGCCCCAGACCCTCTGGACTGTTACACACACACACACACACACACCAACGGACGACAGATGTTCCAGAATACCACAGTGAGACCAGCGCAGGCGGGGAAATGCCCCGAGAGAGCTTCATCGCTTCAGCACGAAGCTGCTTAGGGGGCCGGAGGTCAGTGGCCAGAAGGCCGGAGAACGAATGAAGAGCGAGGAACAGAGGAACGGGCGCGTGGAGCATGAAGCACGGGACGCTGGGAGGAGAAGGTTCGATGGAGTGGAAGAGGACTCTGCCTGATGGGGAGATGACGCCTCGCTGCGAGTCGGCACGCGAGACATCCACATGAGGACGGCAGCCAACTTAAACACACACACACACACACATGAATGGGTGAAAGTGGACTTGAACCCGCAGCAGTAGACACACACACACACACACACACACACACACGCTTGCATTGCATCAGAGTAGATTCGTCAGCTGGACTTGGTTTCATTCAGATCTGCTGTGACAAGAAGAGCTTCTTAGTCTCCGCCCCTTCCTGAGAGTGTGTGTGAGTGAGTGAGTGTGTGTGTGTGTGTGTGTGTGAGCGTGTGTGTCCTCCCAGCCCGTCACTTGACGTTGCGTGTGCACACCTGCGCACACGCAACAGCGCGCACTCCCTCTCCGGTCCTCCGAGCAGCAGGTCCCTGGAAGCAGCCGACTGTCAGCGAACTGCTGCAAACACACGCCGGGCTCTCAGGCTCGCTCGCTGCCTAGGGAGGAGGAGGAGGAGGAGGAGGAGGAGGAGGAGGAGGAGAGGAGGAGGAGGAGAGGAGGAGGAGGAGAAGTGAGGCTGGAAGGAAAACACTCGGATCGAGACGAGAAAGAGACAGACTTGGATGTACCTCTGAGAGACCCACGTAGTTCTTTGGCTTTCTCTTTTTATTTTTCGGCGTCTTGTGTTCGAGCGATGAGGAGAGACCGTCTCTTCTTGGCCGTGACCCTCACCGCCGTCCTCTCCGCCGACCTCTACCTCGTCCTCCTGCCCAAGCTGCGAGGCCTGGGGCGAGGGTCGGGACCCTTTTGCCCGTGCGGCCCCGTCAACCTCACCCTCCCCAGGCACGGGGGTCTCGCCACGCCGCGGCTCTACAACTGGTCTTCCGTGGCGCCCGGGGGCGGCGCGCCGCCTGAACCCGCCGACCGGGGCTCGAAGCTGGGCCGGCTGTTCGACCACCCGCTGTACAACATCCAGAGCCCGGCGCCGGGGCCGCAGGAGACGCTGCTGCAGGAGGAGGACCTCGTGCAGCACTACAGGAAGAAGGTGTCTCACTGGGAAAGGTCAGTTTCTTTACACGCCGCTCGTTTTGTCCGCGATTTCGGCTGAGAATGAGCTGGCTTGTGTCGGAGGGTCCGTGAGCTCGCCGCGGTCACGGGGCGGAGGTCAGCGACATCGCGGCCAGGCCCTCCCGCAGGCGCACAAACACACAAACAGCCTTGTGCGTTTGTTCACGTTAACAGATGTACAGACGCACAGGATGTGTAGACAATCCCGTGCGTCACAAAAAGTCTGAACCCTCACAAACGTGTCTCTCGCTCCGAGGTAAACAAGGACTTAAAACTGCTAAATCCCACTTTAATCTGCGGGAGCTGTGGAGCCGTCTTGGCTTGTGGGGCGGTTCTGTTCTCCTCACGGGGGACACAGATTTTGGGCTGGAAAATAAAAAGCAATGCGAGCAACGGGTCTCCTCTCTGTGCTGCCGGCTGTAAACGTGCACAGCAATGAACAGCCTGGAGGAGACTTTAAGACTTGCAAAATCTTGCAACAGCATTTCAACACACGGAGGAGAGTCTTCGACTTGAAATGCAATGTTGAACAAGGAAACGGTTTTAAAGTAAGTTTCCTGCTCAACATATTTCTGTGTTTTTTGGCATTGCGACTGAAACGATCTCGTTGGGTCTGCGATTACCTGCCGCTCGCGTCGGCTCTTACTCACCTGCACTTTGAGCGGCCCGGGACGGAGTTTGTTTGGGTTGGGAGCGACCGCCCCTCCCCCCCCCCTCGGTGTGGTCATCTCAGGCGATGCGGTGCCGCTCTCGCCGCCACAGACTGCGGTTCCGGTCTCAGATTATATCACAGCAGAGAGCAGAGGAGGACACGTATTCGTCCCCCCCGCCGTTAACCTCTGTGTGGCTTCGCCCTCCTCAGACGCATAAAACTCTACAGCAAGGCAGCGGCCATCTCCAACATCACTGTGACTGAACATGAGGTGACCTTTGACCCCGGCGCCAGCTGGCTGAAGTTCCACCTGGGGATAAACCGATACGCCCTGTACTCCCGCGAGGACGCGGCCGTCCCGCAACTCCTCGAGGACATGCAGGGCATGACCGTCATCAGCGCAGGTGATGGACGGATCGTCCCGCAGTCGGGAATCGGGATCACGTGATGTAATTGGTTCACACGGTTCACTCGGCAGATGTTTGGACTGTGGAGGCTTTTTTTACAGACTTGTCCAAATTCTTGTCGTTGTGAACAAACGGTTTGTGTTACGATGCTAAATGACGAGCTAACGGATCGCCGTCTCTTACAGATTACACCCAAGATGAGAAGGCCCTCAAAGGAGCGTGCGACTGCACCCAAGGTAGGGTCGAGTGTTCCCGTCAGAGGCAAACACACCGCCGCCACTGCGATTGAGAGAAAACCCCCCCCACCATTTTTCGGTTTGGTGGCAAAATCCAGATTTGTGCGTCTGTGTGTGTGCGTGTGAGATACGCGCCCGGGGGGGCAGACGAGCTGGCGTGTGTTTGTGTTCAAAGGCGAAGCTCTTAATTACAGTAAACGTTTGATGTCTGCTCGCTGCGAAGGAAGCCAGCGTTTGCAGGCTTTCGACCTACGCGCCAACCGCCGCCTACGCCTTCAACTCCACCTCTGAGCAGCAACGGAGCGACAGATGGACGCGCACTTGTGCATAAACTGTGCAGACAAAGTCACTTAGAATACACGTTGTTTACCGGAGCAACGTGTGAAAACAGAAGTTACCGACGTCAAACGCTTTGGGGCGAGAAGGAGCTTCGATTTTCAGCCTCAAGTATTTTCAGACTTCCACATATTTCTGCTGTTCGTCCTGTCTGCGTCTGACCAGCGCAGTTATGTGGCCGACCGCACGGATACAAGTCGCTGCCCGGAAGAAAAGCAACAAAACAATCCGCCCCGTCCGGCTAAACACAACCTCAAGGGACTTTTCTCCTTGTTTCTCCTCCAGAATAAAAAGGAGTGATTGTAAAGCTTGTATGATTGTTAACTCTGAATAACCAGAGTGTGTGAGCTCAGTCTGGCCTACTGAGAGACAGATATCCATATATATCGATATTGCCATGCAAAATATCCGCACAGTGACTCGGTGGCCCGATCTTGTCCCCTTCTGCTCTAGTTGTGAAGCCGAGCGGACATCACCTGAAACTCGCCCTGAAGATGCGAAACTACGCTAAAGCCATGTTCAAACCAATGAGGTGAGGACCGAGCCCACGTCCCCTCTGTCAGAACCCCCCCGATGGACAGCGGCCCGGCAATTACGCCGCGCCAGGGCGTCTGGCTCTGATGTGGTAGTGGTGCTGATTATACACAGAAAGCTTGATCACTGTGTGTGTGTGTGTGTGTGTGTGTGTGTGTGTGTGTGTGTGTGTGTGTGTGTGTGTGTGTGTGTGTCAGGCAGCAGAGGGACACGGAGACACCAGAAGACGTCTTCTACTTTGTGGATTTCCAGAGACACAATGCAGAGATCGCCGCCTTTCACCTGGACAGGTGGGCCCCCGCCCCCCCCCCCCCCCCCCACCACATGCTCATTGTCACTCACACTGTTTTTCTACCTTCTTTCTTACCGTCTTCATGCTAACTGGTCTCTGGGGGGACGTGTTTCAGCTCTGCTGCTCGGGGGGGTTTTAGTGAGTGTTTTATTGGCTCCCTCGGTTGTGTCTGTGGTGCAAACCGAAGGGCCTTTGGGCTCAAAGGGAAGATATGTGATGCAAATGTGAAACTCAAGCAGGAAGTAAAGAAGCCAATAAACAATAATAACGGCTTCCAGCGCTGTTGGATAATTGTGAGCAGCGGTGTGACATGCGGACGTTCAGAATCACGTCCAGCTGAGAGACATTAAAAGATTCCATCGGTTTTTCCATCAAACTTTGTCCCGCCAGCAGCTGGGCCGCAGGGACGCCGCGGCTCCGCGGAGCCCCGATCCATATCTGCACTATTGGACGGATCAGCAGGACATTTTGTACCCGCGCTCATTGCCCTCGGAGGATGAAGCGACGGCGAGCGTTTCGGCACGCTCATACGCCACGATGGACATCGTGCACACGTCGCATGAGCACGTTAGCGTTAGCATCGCGCAACATGTTAGCAGGCCTGTGAGATTAGATTCTAACGCTTACAGAAGCAGAGGAGACGTTCTCCTTGTAGCTTAAAACTCGTTTACAGAAACACAAAATGCAATCAACAAAATGACAAAGGTTACAACATGTCTGCCCGGCCCGGGATTTCCAAACTAGCTGATCAGGGTAGACCACAAGCTGTGAGCCAACACCCACACAGACACACACACACCCACACCCACACATCAGGCGAGGTGATTCACTGTGGAACACAGTCATCTGAGCTAGACGGTGTCATTAAGGAGCCGCACACAACGGCGATCCCTGGAAAGCAGAGACAGAAAACAGCAGCAGCGCCACGTCAACAAATCTGACAATCGCCGTAATTACAATTCTGCCGCCTGTCTGCTCATTTTCTACCCGTCAGCCGTTCAAATGTGGGTTAACGGCATCGACCCCCCCCCCCCCCGAGCAGACGGAACATTTCTCTGCTCTCCCCTGGGTTTCATTTCGCCGTGGTTTTAATCCGTGGGGGGGGGGGGGGGTCGGCGGGGGTTTGGCAAACCCTATAATCGTTCGCCGGGAGATAAAAGGCGCGGGAAACCCCCCCCAAGGACTGAAGAAAAACCCCTTCACCCCCACAAACCTAAAACTGGGTTATTGCGTGAACACCAGCCAAACCCGCCCCCCGGGGGAGAAAAAACCACTCGTGGGCGGGGGGTGTACAGAGCCGGACAAATGACACCACGTGGCGTCCGTCAGTGGGGAGCGTTCGTTGATCAGAATCAGCGAAAATGAACGAGGGGGCTCAGAGAGACGAGGACGCCATCAACCTGACAGGCTCCTCACTGCATTCGCATCCTATGCATGAAGCGTGGGAACTGGAAACCTTTCCTCACGCCGTTTGTGTCATTAGTTTCTCTTCTGGCCATCTCGCCAACCCATTGTCTCAGGATCCTTGACTTCCGGAGGGTCCCGCCGGTGGCCGGCAGGCTGGTGAACATCACGGGGGAAGTCTTTCAAGTGGCTCACAACGAAGAACTGAGAGCCGTCTTCTTCACCTCGCCAGGTAAGACCTCGGCGACCTCGACCTAAGCCCGTCTTGTGAGTCACGTTGAGCAGTGTGTGAACCGGAAACGCTTCTCAGCGTCTCACTCTGCTTCCCCCGACAGCCAACAACTCGTGCTTCTTCGCCAAGTGCCTGTACGTCTGTAAGACCGAATACGCGGTGTGTGGAGGGCCAGACCTGCTGGAGGGCTCCCTGTCCGCCTACCTGCCCAGCCTCAGCATCGCTCCCCGCATCTCCATCCCCAACCCCTGGATACGCTCCTACACCTTCACGGGCCGAGAGGAGTAAGACCTCGGGCCGCTTTAGAGGGAGAAATACTTCTTTCGCCTCCTGTGAAATGAAAGACCAGATGTCCCGTAAATCGTGTAGATGAACGTCAGATGTTTATCTCTCTGGGCAGCAGCTTTTCTAATTAGGGATGAACGAGTTGGGAGTGGGCTTTGTGTCTTGGCCACACAGTCCACTATTTTGGTAGTTTATGGAGTCAGTTTGCAACAGATCAACAGGAGGCTCCAACTGTCCCGTTCCACATTTCATCATTATCATATGTCTCAAAATATAAATGAACTAAGGCTCAAATTTGGACAGTTTTTTTCTCAGGAACCAGTTCATTGAGCAGAGTTTTCGATGATGTCATTCATGTCCGTTTGTTTTGTTGTCAAAAGGTGGGAAGTGAACCCCTTCTACTGTGACAACATAAAGAAGATGTATCCCTACAACTCGGGCGACCGTCTCCTGAACATCATAGACATGTCCATCTTTGACTTCCTCACAAGTATTTAAACCTCTTTGTCACCTTTTCTTACTGTCAGCAGCTCTTTGCAGAACCTTTACGTCGCTTTATGTCACAGGCAATATGGACAGGCACCACTACGAGATTTTTACCAAATTTGGGGACGAGGGGTTTCTTCTCCACTTGGACAACGCCAGAGGGTGAGAGGAAGCCCACACCGAAAATACAAAGAGTGTAAAAAAAAAAAAAAACACCAGGGTTTGATGTCCTTGTTGCATCTCCTGCTCAGGTTTGGGAAGCACTCTCTAGATGAGATGTCCATCCTGGCTCCTCTATCTCAGTGCTGCATGTGAGTAGAACGTCCATTCGTCTTGTCCTTTGGTCCTGGAGACCATTTGAGGTTCATGAATACAACACAGTTTCTGCAGAGAGATTTTCAGTTGTGTCCTCCTCAGGATAAAGCGCTCCACGCTGCTGCGCCTCCGGCTTCTGGCCCGACCCGAGTTCAGGCTGAGCGACGTGATGAGGGAGTCGCTGGAGGGGGACTCCCTACGGCCCATCCTGACGGAGCCCCACCTCTCAGCGCTGGACCGCAGGCTACAGAAGGTCCTTCGGACGGTGCAGCGCTGCGTCCGGAGGCTGGGAGAGGACGAGGTCATCCTCAAGGACTTTGCGGAATCCACGAGGAGCCCCGCGAGCGCCGCAGAGAGTCAGGTCAGGTAGCACAGGAGGAAAGGGGGGAGGGGGGGGGGGGCTCCTCTTCGCAGATGCTCGTGGAACCTCGGGAGGCTTCACAACGGAGGGAGCGAGCAGAGCTCAGGTGGTTTTAAGGAAAACACTGTGGAATCCTCAAAGAAGGAAGCAATGGAGGTTCAGGACTTTTTACAGTTTCCTAGAAGAGAGGCAGGCGGATCTTTTAGTTCCTTCTCTCAGGGTCATAAAGTCCATGACAGCTTTTCGCGTCGGTTTGGAGTTTAGACCTTTCAGGGGACACTTGGAGATGTACAGTGAAGCAGAAGGCGCTCGCTCACTGACATACAGATGAAAAGCAGCATGGATTTCATGTTTATAACACGGATCAGTTGGTAAATTACTGCTGAGGAATATTGTGATCACTGAAAAAAAAGACTTGTGTATCCATGTGGTGTAATAATTATAAAATAAAGTTATTTTGGCGAGAAGACAATCACCTGCAAATAATAAATATAAAGTGTACTTGTGTTGAAACTGCCATTTAGTTTCCTCCGCCTCTTTTTCCAGACGTGTAATCTTTGTCTCATTAAGTGTTTAAAGAGCTTAAACTGTTGAGACATAAAAGCAACTGAGAAACAAGTGTAATCTGATCAAAGTGTAATAATTCTCAACGGTTTACTGTGAATGTGTTTGAGCTTTTTTCTTTCTTTTAATACATTCCAGGTCTGTGAGTAACGTAAAACAAGACGAACCACCACAACTATTTTAAAGAGGTCCTTTGAATGCCGATAAGCAGTGAGATCACAACACGTGCTCCGTGCTGCAGGTAAACGTCTTCACCAAAACGCAGCAACACAAATTCAGTTTCAACCGTCAAATGAAGGATGACAGATTAGTGAGCGGAGGTGTGGACTCTTCCTCTTCTTCTTCAGATTCAATGTGGCAAATGTTGGTTGTTTTCGCTGAGCAGAGTACGAATGTTAATAATTAACTTTTAAACTCCCGCTCTTTTTTTGAAAAGAATAATAATAATTGCTTTTAACATATTTAAATGTATGCATCTACAAAGGAGAGGAAAGCTTCACGTTTAAAATGTGTTTATGGCTTTAGATATCAGTCCAGTAGTGAGGAGTTTCTGCAGCAGCCTGCTTCTCCCTGGTGGACAGATGTTGCATTACATCTGTTTTCACAACCAAAAATGAGCGAACTCGGCTTGAAGAGGAATTCCACGTCGTTTTAACGAGTCAAATCGAAATCCACACAAGAACACACACACTAATGAGTCCACTAAAGTAACACAAAAGGAAGAAGCCCGACGCAGAGAGGATTCATTTTTACTTTTTTATTGCTTAAACTGCCATCCGGAACAATCTATACCAAAAGGATAAACATCTTTGCACATACAGGAGGTGGAACTGAACACAGGGTAGAATAGAAAAAGAATGGTCCTCTGATGGCCTGCAGCTCTCGGCGCTGCAGACCCGACGAGCTCACTGAAGGTCGGCTAGCGGGAGTGACGGACGACTACCGTGAGCCCAGGTTAGGTAAGCTAAGGCAAACCGGGACAACTGCAGTGTGCCTAAACATCTGAAAGGAAACCCGATGATGCCGCTATTTACACACACACACACACACACAAAAGAATTCAATAGAATGTGGGTCAAAACCCCCAACGGAGTCATTTCCTGCGGGTCGGGACACGGATCAGATGAACATAAAGAAACCAACAAAGTACTCGCGTGTTCTCGCCAACCTGGCTGCCTTTCAAGCTTATTGGACGTACAAACACACAAACATCTCGATGCCGATGTCATTTCTGGGTAACAGACGAGTGAGGCAGGAATGAAGAGTTAAGCCTATAATCCAGAAGTCAACATTGTGTGTTTTGGTAAAGATCTTTAAAACAAAAAGAACAAAAAAAAAAACACACACACAAAAAGAAGAGATTTAAACATTGTATTCCATCTACAGAGTCATGAAGCAGTTAAGCGAAGGAGAAACAAACCAAATATTTGACAAAGTTCCTGCTTCTGCACGTTTTTTTCTTTCTAAATACACGCTTCCATTCACACCGGATCACTGGAGGCCTAAAACATCGCGCCGAGTAAGCGTAGAGAACAGATCACAAGCTACTCTGATGAAAAGACAGCCACCTTTTCAACAGGCAATAAGCAATGACACTAGATTTAAATAAATATCTGCTCACTCTGCCCACCGGCTCCCTGTGATGCTTAATACAGAAATACTTCAGGTGTCCTGAAATTCATAAACCTTCTTGTTTTTTCATTTTTTTTTTTCTTCTCAAGACTTCACTTCAATAAACCTGGAATTACCCATTTCATCTATTTTTAAAAAGTTTTAACCCATAACGTTTTACACATACGATTACATACGGTTTTTGTCGGTTGACAAGAAGGAGCATTTATTTACTTTGTGGCACTGGACACCTAAAATAGAATTTATGGAAAAATAAGTGTTTACAAAAGACAGTTAAACATATTTTTGTAAGCTCACCATCACTCCAAACCATAAGCTCATCATTTAGTCGTTGATAATAATATAGCTAGGATTGTTTTACTAGACTAAAACATAGCAGAAGAGTGACCACATTATTTGGTGTGTACTAAAAATAAAAATGGAATACTGGAACACACTTAATACTCTTGTTTGTTTTTTTTCCTTCTTTCGTTTTCCCTTATTTCTTCCCCTCAGAGTAGTCAAGGCAGTTCCTGTCTGGCCGTTCTACAGACTAAGAGGACACTAAGGGGAATAACTACTTCCTGTTTGGAGCTCCGAATCGCATTCGCGGGACTGTGCATCTTTGCGCTGTGACAATAGTGAACGTTTGGCACGAGCCTGGTAGCTGCACAATAAAATAGAGACCTAAAAGTTGTACGAGCTCCCTCCAGCTCGGCGGAACAGACTCGTCAGCGTCTCGTCGTGCCAATCAAAGAAAACCACCAGAGGAGCACAACCGCCGTGGGGCTAAAACCTTAAAAAAAACCTCTGCTAAAAAATGGCTGCGATCACATTCTCTCCGCTTCCTTCAACCCTCAACACGGACCTCTGCAACAAATTCACCAAAAAGCGCCACGTGAAGTTTGATTGTCCCGTCTCGTCAGTCGGAGAACTTAAATGTCTTTTCAGATCTCCCAACAATCCCGCTCGGCCTTTTAAGTCTAAAAAGAAAGCGTGACTAGCAAACACAAATGGAACGCAGGTAACGCGTGATGGAACCGTGCCGACGAGGAAGCGGACAGCAGCTGGTACGAGCGCTGGTGAGCGGCGTCGCCGTGACAACTAAATCATCTGTGCGTGTTAAAACAACACAACAAGAAGAGGGAGGTGGGGAGGGGGGGGGGCGCAACGGAACGAAAGTGATGAAAGAAAGCAAATTGCATTGGTGGACCCCAGGTCTAAGAGGAGGGACGGGGGGGTTCAGGGGGGAGAGAGAGTAACAGAGAGGGGGGGGGGGGGACCCTTCAGACGGACAGCGAGACGAAGCTGTTGTACTGTTGGATGTTGCGCTTGAGAATGTCTGAACAGGGTCCCAGGACGCGCTCGAAGCGAGGCCGGTCCAGCTTGACGCACTTCAGGGGGCCGCGGGCGACCACGGTGGCGGCGCGGGGGCGGTTCATCAGCAGGGCGATCTCACCTGGACAACACGCACAAATACATAGAAGACACAGGAATCCTTCAGCAACGTAGACATTTAAACCACAAGCTGATCTGGAATACTGAAGCAGGTGCGGCGGCTCGTGGTCGCATGTGGACCTCCGTCACGCCGTCGAGCTCATGTCTCGTTAGTGCACAACACCAACTTTGGTCTTTGGAGTCTTTCTGCTGGTTTCTGAGGATCGTGGTTTTATCTCCTGACGCCCGCTGCTAATATCACCCGGATTATTTGTATCAGCCACATCCTGATTAATATCGACAACATTATTGATTTTGTCCGCGTGCCGATGTGAGAGAGGGAGACAGGATGTCGTGTGTGTACAGATTGTAAAGGTGTCAGAGGCAAATTTTGGATTTTGGGATGTAGAAAATATATTAAATGTAATTCTTACCAAAGTAGTCAGAGGGTCCTAATCTCCCCACCTCGACAAACTCCTCGTTCTCTGAGCGACGCTGCAACACCGCTGCAGAACCCTGAGGAACACGCACACGCACACGCACACCATGAGTCTTCACCTTGTTAATCTCTTGACTTTAGTTACATAATCACTTATGTGAGAGTAAAAAAAAACACCACCTAAAAGTGCTATTTGTAAATGTTAAAGGAAAATAGGTTATACTTCATAATAAATGTGCAAAATATTGTTAAAGTCAGTTAGCCAATACATTTAATATTACGTTTCAACTACACAATGTCACGTAATAGAATCAGCAAAATCATAAATACATTGTCTATTAGGTGACTTCAACGGAATTGTGGGACTAAAAAAGAAACACATTTACATATTTCAGAAGATGGAGCCAGTAATCAGTGACATTGTTGTATTTGATCATTTTAAGGATCACAACAGTTGCAAATTCATTTTCAGTTGACTGACTAATGGTCTCAGTTCAAAGATCAAATACGAGTTTCACATCTCGGTGTTTGAGTGAACTACAAAGAAGTCGTACTAGTTTATAAAAAGACAAAAATAAGAGACAGTCATGTGGATCAACGGTGTAATTCGACTTAATAGAACTGCTTAAACCTCGTAGTTCAAAAAGGTCGAAACCAGGCGCCGTGTCACACGTAGAGCGTGGCCATTGATCACACGCTTACCTCCAAGATGATGAAGAATTCGTCTCCTGGTTCTCCCTGGACAACAATCTTCTGTCCGTCCTCAAACTGGACGGGCTCCAAGGCGTCAGCGACTGTCAGACGCTCCCATTTGTCGAGAGACTCTGGGGGAAGCGACAGACAACCCTCAGAAAAATCAATGATTGAATCCGTTTTGGATTCGTGAGACATTCTTAGCAAACTCCTTCAAGTTATTTTAATCTCACTCGCTTCTCTGCTTCCATTTCTACGCGTTGGGACGAGGAGCCTGGAGGGACGAACTCACCTAAGATGGAAACTTTCCGGAGGAATTCCTCGTACATCTTCCTCTTTCTCAAAGTGCTTCCCTGAAGAGGAGGAGATTCGTGTGGGTGCGTTGTGGTGAAACAGCGGCGCGTCACGAGCAGGGCTCTTCCTGCGTCTCCTTACCATGAGTATTCTCCTGTAGCTGTCTCTGTCGATGCCCCACAGCTTCACGTTGGTCTTGGCCCGAACTGTGGCCGCCCTCGGGGTGCCGTATATCAGGGCCAGCTCTCCGAAGCTGCCCCCCTCCCCGATGCTGGTCACCCAGTCGTTGTTCACATACACCTGGGCACATTAGGGGGAGGGTGGAGACATGTGACAACCACATAAAAGAAACGGCTGATAAAAATCACGACATGGATGAGACACTCACGTCCATCTCCCCCTGGTCGATGACATAGAAGTTGTCTCCTTCGTCACCTGGGTGCAAACGACGAGACTGTTAGCGCCACGCGAGGACTTTAGATCGCGTTTAGATCAGCTTTAGTCGACGACCTACCCTGCAAAATCACCGTCTCCCCGGCGATGTAGGTGACGGGGAACATCGCATCGAATATGTCACTGGAAAAGGAGCAGAGTCGTGAGATGATCAGCTGATCACCAAAACGTTATCAGTAAAGGCTTTTGTTTTTCTGTCCCTCAAGAAGTACCTCCTCTCATTGTCGTCGAGGTGCGAGAAGAGCACGTTCTTCTCAATGGCCTTGGCCAAGGCCGCCATCGTCTTGTAGTCTTTTGGAATGACCTTAGAAAACAACACAGGGGAGTCAGGGCGCGTCCCGCGGCGCTGAAGGAGACGGAAGCGTTGCACGTGAGCTCACATGTACCTTTCGGACGTACGAGGCGGCATCCTCCTCTGTGTAGACCTCCGCGCTGAAGGCTCCTCTCCGCCGGCGACCCTTCACCACCGGGTTCATGGGCGGAGACACCTCCTCGTCACGCGAGTCTGAGCGGGAGCTGCCGGCCTTCTGCTGGTTCTGGATCTGCTTGGCCTCCTCCTGGAGGGGAGGAAGGGGAAGGAGGGGTTTCTTTCTGCAGTCATTTTGAAAAGCAAGTGCTGCATTAATTCCCCCGATACAGACCAGAAAAAAAACTTCCACAAGTGTTTAAAGCACAAATAGAAATGGTCTGAAATCCCCCCGTGTGTTTGTAGCGGTCAGACGGCCTGACAGACCAATTCAGAGATTACAAATTACGAATATACAAACTGTAAGCAGGGAAACTATCTGCAGCAGCGTTTCTCTGATCTTTGTTTTCTTATAGCGGAAAATATTCTAACTTAAATGTCTAAGAATTTAAAAGAGGATGGAAAACTATCAAAAAAAATTCTAAAACAGCTCCTAACTCAAATAAGTAAGCTAGTTTGACGCCAGCTAGTTGTGAGAAAAGTAGCATGTGATTTGGAACTTGCTTCCACCATCCTGTCCAAAGCAGATGTGCACGGATCCAAAAATTGAGCGAGCGCGAGACACAAATAACCTAAAGAAAAAATACATGAAAAAAAGATTTGGCATACGAGTTAGAAAGCTAATTAGCTTGTTTATAACGTTTCCAATGTTTTTTCTATCGTTACTAATCTTTCTAAGCCAAGCTGCCGTTTTCAGACTGAAGGAATTTGAAAAAGAAAAACATGAGCATACAAAATAAAGTGCTTCAGTCTAAATGAGAAATTGCTTCATCGCTGACATCCACTGACAACTTACAGTTTATGTACATAAATACAGTTTATGATGCCAATTACCAGCCGACTCGTGAGACAGCAACACTCTGGTGTAATATCGGAGTATTTAAAGATTCGGCTTGGACACAAACCTTCTCCAGCCTCTCGAAGTACTCCCGGAGGAAGGCCATGGGCCGGTCCGGCCTGGAGGTGCACAGCTGGACGATGCAGTCCTTCAGCAGCTGTTGGATGTTGTGTTTCTGCACGTACTGCTCGCACTCCCTCAGGCTCCGCTCCTCCTCGCTGCTCGTACTTCCAGATGCCATGACGACGACCACAAGCCTGCTCTGTGACCTTTAACCTTTTTACTGGAGAGAGTGGACAGTAATGGGAGGGTGGTGGGGGGGTCAGAGTTTCAAATCCACTCCTCTCTCACAACGCAGAGCCACAGGATTACCGGTGAGGGGGGAGGGGGGGCGGCTTTGCATTGTGATGACAAACGGACAGACGGAACCGTAAAGGAGTGAGAGATATCGAGGCAGAGTGCGATGGGGTGTTATTGTGGAGCTAAAGAGACGGAGCGTTCAGTGCGAGCAGTGAAAACGGGTCATGTGATGCGATCACACATATTTGACCACAGACAACAGACTAGAACCGGGTCTATTTACTCAAAACAACTTGCCCTTTTTTTTTTCTCTCCCCCCCCCCCCGGCGGCCTGAAAGAAGCCCTCTGTCAGAGCGGCAGCATCACATGCGAGGCCTAATCTCAGGCGACTGGCGAAATGAAGGACAGAGAATCAGTCCCGTGTGAAGCAGATCGAACCGTGAAAACAAGTGCACTTGCTTGTGGTTTCAACATCTCGGCGCTGCTGCTGAAAACAGCGGATCGCAGATCATGTGGTCGGCCACAGAGACGCTCCTTCAGACCCGAATCTGATCAAGCGGTGTTGTCTCAAACAGGAAGGCCTTATAACCAACACGGGCTTGTGAACGAGTGAACAAAGGGACCGATCCCTCCTGACCTTGCAAGAGTGCCATGCATGTGCGTTCGTATACTAAGCCTGGGATCATTTCTAATCAGGCCCAGCGGAGATTACTGGTCATGTTATCAAAGATGAGGCTGACAAAACCTTTATGCAACTGACTAACAGGCAAGGTGGGAACTTTAATCTAAATGCTAGAACTTACAACCAGGTAGAACCAATTAAGAACGGAGACTACAGACGTGATTCCATAAACTAGGAGTACTTTGAATATTCGTTTGGTGGGAGGACATAATGAACACGTACACGTCCTGACTGCGTTAGCGAGCTGCAGCAGAACATCTAACGTCACTCAGAAGCCGGCTGTCAATTAATCGACAGGAAACACCGCGATGCACAGATGACCTTGCTGGAAAAATGACAGGGCGCCTGGCCGGAGGTCGGACGACCACAGCGCGCCCGCTGCTTTCACAAGCCGACGGAATGTCACCGCCTTCCGGGGCAGAACGGGGCAGCCGTCGCGGTCAGGCGGCTTCACGGGGAGGCGAAAGAGGCCAAACAACTCGGCGGCGAACGGAGCGACGCCGAGGATCCAGCCGGCCCACCCGGGGCGGGGGGCGGCGGCGGCGGCGGGGGCCGGGGGAGGAGGACGGGGGGGGGGAAGAGACCAGCAAGCACACGAGGTGTGCGCACTTTACGTTGCACGCGTCGGCTCAGGCGGCTCGGGGGGCCCGCGGCGCGTCACCGAGCGGCTCCGGTTCGACGGCCGGCTCGGCGAGCTCGGCGCAAAGGCAAAGCTCTCCTCCGACGACGCCATCTTGAGTTCTATCATAAACAAACGGCAGACGGAGGGAGCGCATTTCGCCGATCCAGAGGTCATGTGACAGGCGGACCGACTGCGCGAGAATACTCACAAGAAAGTGTAAATTCCTGCCGAGCCCTTCGATAGCGACTCGGGACGGGTGGTATTTGTCAAAGCGAACCGTTACGGGATCCTCCTCGCTTCGATCGTTCTTCCCGAGCCCTGGACCGCTGCCCCACCGGATGCGGCTGAGGACCAATCAGCGGCCGTCTGTGACGTCAATCCTCCCCGTTCTGACATGTGAGCTCGTAACCCCTGGCAACCTTAAAGGAGACCGCGCGGAAACCGTGACGTCAAGGAAATAGTTTAGAATTGAGCAGAAGTAGAAGAAGAAGGAGAAAAAAAATCGATTTTTATCTGATTGAAAACGAGCCTGACGGGAACCTCTCGGGGCCGTTTACGTAGACTTTGTGGTTCACTGCAGTGAGCAATAATACTCAAAGGATCAGATTTGATAAGCTGAGGAGAAGTTCTTCCTGATGCGTAGGGAAGTTCAGATATAAAGAAACATATAATGGAAGTACTTGAGTGATTTAAAGTAAAGGAAACTGTAAATGTGCTTTACTTTACCACTGCTAAGGGGAGACGTGATTAATAAAGAAAGGTTGCATGATTTCCTGTCTGTGTCCAATAAATCTATACAATTTTAGGAAACCCATTTAACTTCGTAAAGCTACACGTTTAAATAAATAAATAAACAAAAATGTATGTGTTTCTTTCATATCCTCAGATCGGCTTTGTGTAGCAGTGTCACATCGGGGTCGCTGGGTGTCGCTGCTCGGACGAGCAGGGAAGGAAAAGCTCGACACGTCGCTCATCCAATGAAATCATGAAAACAATTCCTCGTGACCAGACTCAACGTGTAATTAGCCAATCGACTGTTTTTTCCGCCAAATGGGCGGCCCGTTTTTATTGGCAACCTTTCCGTCAAATCAACCAAAGGCCTCAAAGATCTCGACCAATGAAAGCGGCGGGCAGGAGGCCTGACGCGTCGCACCCGGCCAATCAGAACGCACCTCACATCGACGCATCCACCCATCAGCTGTTTTTGTTTTGCCGTGTGGATGTTGGAAGTTGATAACGTTAAAAAAAAAAAAAAACCCAACCCGACTCAGGTGTAGCGGCTCCGCCGGGGAGCCGTCGTCGTTTCACCTTCGACCCCGTTCACATCTGGGTCAGCGGACCCGGCGCGTCGGTGCGCGCCAGCTGAGCCGGTCCGCCCGGACATTCCGCCCCGCGGAGAGTGTGAGCGTGGCGCTTTTTTTGGGGGGGCCGGTGGGGGCAGAGGAGGAGAAGCGGGTTCCGGCCGGGGGATCGACCCCGATTCCCCAAAGGCCGAGCGGCGTCGCGCGGCGGGAGGAGAGGTCGGTTCGGCGGCCGCGATGGAGCCCCGCGAGTCCCGGGACGCGCCGGATGGCGCCGACGCGCACCGAGAATTCATGTGCGCCTCGTTCAACCAGGACACCACGTAAGCGAGCCGTGCGGGACGACGTGAACTCAATCTGCGCGTTGCATAATTATTAACACGTCCCGGTATCCCGTCCGCCTTTCTTGGTAACAGGAGTCCAAACTGAAACCAAGAGCTTCTGGATTCGATCCTGCGCGAGGAAGAGCCGCTTCGACCCCGAACTAAACGATTAGTAACACAACTTGTTGTTTAGTAAGACACAACTCAGTGGGGTCGATTTAAAACGGGCCGCTTTATTCTCACCTCCTTCAGGACACCGGTGACATGACAGGTTATTATTCAGCTTGTAACAGTATCATCGACCCGGTGCCGTTTGTTCAACCCAACAAGCACGTAGAAGACGCATTGACGGGCTGCGGGAGTCAAACTCAGCAGGAGTCTTCTCTCTTTGTCATCGTGTTTATTCAACTGCAAACACGAATAAAACAAAATAATAACTTCCATCCTGAGGTGAAGCCTGGATCTGACCTCCTGTTAGTGACGGAGCTCGCACTGCTACACATGAATGGTGTAGTTATTGTGATTACTACTCATATTATTGATCTGGATTAAGGATTGTACATGAGTACACACCATTAGTCGGCGTTGTGTGTATCAAAATGTTGGCGTCACTTGTTGTTGGTGTTGTGTGTGTAATCTATGTGACGCCTCGGATTCCACAGGATTATTCTTTAAATAAATGTAATTGAAAATGGCAACTAAATCTCCTAACAACGGTGTTTGTGTTTCTCTTGCAGTTCTCTATCAGTGGGCACCAAGACGGGCTACCGGCTCTTCTCCGTCACTGCTGTGGACAAACTGGACTGCATCCACGAGGGAGGTAAGACCCACGCTGGAAGTCAAAGTGACGACGACGACGACGTCGCGTTGCAGTCAGGCGGCGCGGCTTCGCCAAACACCGCGGAGCCCGTGGTCGGGTTGACTCTGGTCACGCAGCGGCGTGTTTGCTCTTCTGCGCGCACAGAGTCAACACAGGAAGTGTGCTAATCCTCCAACGGCCACAGCGAAAGCAGAAGCGCTGAGCTCAAGTCCCCCCGCGGGGGTCGAGGGGCCCGGCGGTCTCTGCTCACGCGCCGTCCATAATGTGGGCTGATTTTAAAGTGAAAGGATGCGACGCTCTCTCCTCTCTCCCCAGTAGAGAGCCCGGACGTCTACATAGTGGAGCGGCTGTTCTCCAGCAGCCTGGTGGTGGTGGTCGGCGTGTCCATGCCGCGGCGGATGAACGTGTACCACTTCAAGAAAGGCACGGAGATTTGTAACTACAGCTACTCCAACAACATCCTCTCCGTGCGCCTCAACAGACAGGTGTGTGGTGGAAATCCCTTGTGAGTGGATTTAGCCCTTGTGAGAGATCAAAAGTGTCTTGAACTTGCTTTGTGATTAAGTATTTATTACTAACTAGAATCTGGACAAATGATAAAGAATACAGAAATCAATCAATCAATCAATCAATCAATCAGCACGAGCCGTAAGCACAGACAGAAGTCAAATGACTACAATTCAGCTGAAAAGGGACAGAAATGTTCCTTCCCCCAAAAGGAGCAGGAAGAAGTTTCTAGGGGAGACCAGGAGCTTTTATACATCTCTGAAGGTCCGAGGAATGGTAACCACCTGTCGTTTGGGGAACCTCCATGACCCCCTCTTAGTGGGACCTGGTCAATCATATTCGACAGGTAGAGACGGGCGGAAAAGAAGAAGAAGAACACGATACGGTCTGTCCAGGCCTCATATGGAAACCTGGACGCCATCGTGGACACGGTCAGGTCACGAGTTTCCCCCAAAAGAAAAAGGTCACGTACGAGTTCTCGAGACCCTCAAAATGGGGCGTGAATGGGCAGGGAGCGCGTTCACCACGCCTGCAACCCGCGGGTCGTCGTGGCGCAGGGGTTAGAGAAGGTGTGCTGGGAAGCACAAGGTTGGTGGTTCGACTCCAGGCTGCCCCATGTTCTGCCCCATGTTCTGCCCCATGTTCCATGTCGAAGTGTCCCTGAGCAAGACACCTAACCCCTAATTGCTCCCCGGGCAAAAATGTGAAAAAGCCACGGGTTTAAAGTGTAATGTAAGTCGCTTTGGATAAAAGCGTCTGCTAAATGACCTGTAATGTAATGTAATGTAATGTAATGTAGTTCACCTCTGTTGATCTGTCACCTCAGCGGCTGGTGGTTTGCCTGGAGGAGTCCGTCTACATCCACAATATCAAGGACATGAAACTACTGAAAACCCTGCTGAACACGCCCGCCAACCCCACAGGTAGACCCGCCCCGCCGCACAGACACCCGCGTCCCGTAGAGACGAGTATAAGAGCTTCCTCGCCCCCCTCTCGTAGGCCTTTGCGCTCTCTCCGTCAACCACAGCAACTCCCACCTGGCGTACCCCGGCAGCGCCACCGTCGGAGAGATCACCGTCTACGACGCCAACAACCTGGTAGGCTAGACTTAGACAAACCAGCGCGTCGGCTCCTGCCCGCGCCCCCCCCCCGTCCTCACCGGTGCTTTTGCCCCCCCCTGCAGAGCACCCTGACGCTGATCCAAGCCCACGACAGCCCCCTGGCGGCGCTCGCCTTCAACGGCTCCGGCACCAAACTGGCCAGCGCCTCGGAGAAGGTGAGGATTCTTTTTCCTTTTAATCCCCCCGTTCTGTTTCGTTGTCCTGCGTGTGGTGATGTTGTTGTTGTTGTTGTTGTCTCCACCTTGTCCTCCGCAGGGCACCGTCATCAGAGTCTTCAGCGTCCCTGAAGGACAGCGGCTCTTTGAGTTCCGCAGAGGCATGAAGAGGTTAGCGCTCACTTATTTTCCCGCGAGACAGACGAGATGGTTCGCGGCGGCGGTTCAAATGAGCCGTCTGTGACTTTTAATTGTTGCTCATGAGGTTGGTGAGGCAGAGACGAGGGGAAACCGACTCAGAGGCTTTTAACACACTGTGGGGGGGAAAAACAGTCTACACTTGAGCCAATTGTTGTTTTGGGACAAATGTTCTTTCGTTATTTGATTCTCTCCCGTCCCTTCGTCCGTGTCAGATATGTCCGCATTAGTTCATTGTCCTTCAGCGCCGACGCCCAGTTCCTGTGTGCCTCCAGCAACACGGAGACGATCCATATCTTTAAACTGGAACAGCACAGCCCCAGGTACACACACACACACACACACACACACACACACACACACACACACACGTTTATTTGCAGACCTGTAAAATGTCGGACTAGAAGTCTTCCTCCCGCGTGTTGTCCTGATGTAATTCTGCGCCGTTAACCGTGTCCTTCCAGTCGAGACGAGCAGTCGCCCACGTGGTCGGCCTACATGGGCAAAATGTTCACAGCAGCCAGCACCTACCTGCCCTCCCAGGTGTCCGACATGATGCACCAGGACAGAGCCTTCGCCACCGTGCGACTCAACACGTCCGGCCTGAAGAACATCAGCGCCCTCGCCACGTAAGGCCGAGCGAGACGAGGGGGGGTTAAGAAGTGTGTTGATGTGTGGTGAATACACATTGTGTGTGTGTGTGCGTTGTGCTGGTCAGGATTCAGAAGCTCCCTCGCCTGCTGGTGGCGTCCTCAGACGGGTCTCTCTACATTTATAACGTGGACCCACAGGACGGCGGCGAGTGCGCCCTGATCCAAAAACACAGGCGCGTATGTCTCATTGAGCCCGGTTTCGCCCTGCGAGTCGCCCGCAGCGGTGTCGTGACGTCCTTGTCCTCCTCCGTCCGCGCAGGCTGTTCGACTCCAGCGAGGAGGAGGTGGGACCGAAGGAGGAGGAGGAGGAGGAGGAGAACCCGGAAGATGTTCCTCCTCAACCAGCCAGCCAATCGTACGCCGCCACTGTGGCTCTGGCCTCGACCCCGCCCTCCTCCACCACGCTCATGGGTACGTTACCGCCGATCAGAACCCTCCCAGCGCCCCCAAACCCCCGCTGCGTGCCGCGTGCACAAATGGCCTTCCTCCTCCCTTTCCCCCGCCCAGGTTACTCCGAGGAAGGTGGAGCCCAGAAGGGGGAGGTCATCCCGGAGCACGAGTTCGCCGAGGGTCCCGTCTGTCTGGACGACGAGAACGAGTTCCCCCCCTTCGGCAACCAGAGCAATTGACCCGATGCCTCTCACGGGACATCCCATCCGATCCCTGCGTAGCAGCGAGGCGCGTTCCAAGCAGGAAGTGGCGATATGGCGACACCCCCCCGACCTTCCACGCGTACCGTACCGCCTGCTGGCTTTGGCCAGAATGTTACTTCCTGGTGTTTCTGTGTTCTGCGTCCCTCACTTGTTGTAATGACTAAAGAAAGTTAAAAAAAAAAAAAAAAAAAAGGGGGGGGCGCAAGATCCGAATTTACATGTTATATATTCTACGGATCAAAGACCCGCTAACTAACCTGCTACGAACAAACAAGCGTTCTCACAACGGAACCCTGACAAAACCGTGACGTTATTGTTGCACATTATCATAGCAGCAGCGAGACGTGCATACGAGTGTATTATACTGAGTATATTGTGAGCAGACTGAATGCATGAAGGTAGAAGAAACAGGCAGGCAAGACCCCCCCCCCCCCCCAAAAAAAAAGAGGTCACTTTGAAGGTCATTTTAGCCGCTTCTAAACAAGGTAACTGCACTCAGACAACAAGATAAATACAATATGAAATGAGTCCGTGACGATCGTTTCTCACTTAGATGTCTTGGAAATAGGAACCTGAACTTGTATAATGAGGAAATGGGATCGATCGGGCCTGAGGAACGTCGTCAACGGGCATTAAATGTGACACAGGAGGGAGAAATGTGGTGTGACTCCCCTTTAAACGGTGATACATGCAGCAATAATGATGTGATTCCAGCTGTCATAGTAAATAAGACACCAAACACCTGCCGGGTCCTGAATGCAACCTGGTGACAAAAGGTGGGGAAGTCGTCAGCGAACTGTGTGCAGCTCCATGCTGAAGCAAAGTTACAGGTCCTTGAATTTCAGTTGTATCCGAATATATTTTATTTACTACAAATTATGCTGAATACAGTACGTTAACATTTCATTTTTACTTTGATGTATAAAATATTATTTTACAAAATGTTTTCAGTATTACACATAGACCTACAATGCGGAAATATATCTGGAGGATTTTTATCGTGTGTATAATGTGTATATATAACATTTCTACATGTTATGCCGCTTTGACCCGCTCAATACTGGACATTGACACTAAAGACTCATTAAAGCTGAAAAGTGATTCAACCTCTGCGTGGTGTCCTTCTCATGTGTGTTGTTTTCAGCTTTTATTGAATGTCACATCCAACCAATGACAATGAAGCTGACATTAATAAACATCAATTCACTGTAAAATTGTTATTGTTGATCCCAAAATTCCAACCTTTGCTCGACAGAAGCGCGTCTCCGCTCCTCTTTGCCTGCGTGCTTCTCTTTTAGCCTATTGTGTGTGTGTGTGTGTCTGTGTGTGTGTCTGTGTGTGTGTCTGTGTGCGCGTTGCACCGGCACGCGGCCCGCGTCGGCTCGCAGCAGGGCGCCGCTGACGCGTTCGCGCTGTAGTCCGCCGTGGACACGGACCCGTCGGTGGCGATGTCCCACAGCAACGCCTCCCTGCCGCGGGCGACCCTCTCCGCTATCGCCCGGTACTCGGGCGTCCCGACCCGCAGGGGCGTTTCCTCCGCCTCGCCGCGCTGCAGGTCAAAGATCAGCGGCGGCTCGTGGAGCTGCGGCCTCCCCGTTGCGCCGCCGCACGCCTCGGCCGCCCCTGCGAGGAGAAGAGGACGTGTGTGCGCGCGACACGGAGCGCGGCGCTGCAGCGCGGACACACGCGCGGTGCGACTCGTACCTGTGATGTAGAAAGCTTTGTGTGTCCCCGTCCGAACGGTCTGCAGGTCACCGAACCTCCCCGCTGCTCCGCTGTTGGGGTGGAACAGGAACTACGGGAACCAAGAACTTAGCGGGAACCTGATCCTCCACACCGTTATTTTTTTTTTTTACAAACAAGAAGTACCTCGTGACCCGTCTGTCCCCCGTGCAGGAGGACATTTGTGGCGTCAATGCCATCGTAACGTCTGTCCACGGGAGGAGAAACCTCGGCCAGGGACAGGAGGGTTGGGAAGATGTCCATTCCGCTGCAAGAGGACGTCACGTTCTTTTAGACCTTCGACCTGCTGGTGTTCTGAAGTTTTTCACTCAAGCGCCTCCGCTTATTGACGCACCTGAGCAGGGCGGAGCTGGTGGTGTTTGCGGGGATCCTCCCGGGCCAATAAGCCACCGTCGGCACCCGGTGACCCCCCTCCCAGGTCGTCTGCTTGGCCGAGCCGCCGCCTAAGACACACAAAGACGACGACGACGACCTCGGGGGCGTGAGGACCAATAGCAGCGCACCCGTCATAACGCATGGAGGGGGGCGGTTGGTTTTTCATACCTCTGCTGCGCTGCCACTTTCCCACAAAGGGCCCCACGCTTCCCGAGTACTGGCACTTCCTCTCCCAGGGCCCGTTGTCCCCTAAACACAACAGCACACATCGGAGAACCGGCCCGCTGACGCGACCCGTCCGCGCGGGGAATCGCCACTGACCGGTGAACAAGATGAGCGTGTCGTCTTTGTCCGCCGCGTCCGAGGCGCTCTTCACCGCCCCCACCAGGCGGTCCATCTCCCGCAGGCTCGCGGCGAACACGTCGGCGCCGGAGGCGTCCGGGGCCGGCGGGGGGGTGAGGGGCACGTGCACGTGAGCCAGCGCCATGTAGAGGAGATAGGGCCGTCCCCGCTGCCTGCACGCACAGGGGAGGGCCGCGCTGCGCTAGTCAAGACGGTTCCACTTTCAACACGCACGGCCGCCAAATGTGTTACAGAACTAGTTGCACAACGGGAACATCTGTGTTTATATTTACACAGCGAGCGACTCGCCGCTCAGAGGGTCAGACAGCGATGTGCGATGTACATGTTGTGCAACTCGTCAGCAATACGGCCAAGCAGCATTCTGGGACATATTCTGGTCTGTGGTCAGCACATGACGGACAGCGATACTGGTTCACACGGCTCTCTAATGTATGACGGCCAGAGGCCAGACAGCTGGAAACAGCTGGATTCACCCTCTCTCACACACACACACACACACACACACACACACACGCACACACACACACACACACACACACACACACACACACACACACACACACACACACACACACACACACACACACACACGATACAGTAATGGGAGATTAACCAGATAAACAGATCCAGCTTTATATTAGTGAACTAAATTCTCTTCATACTTGAGTATCAACACATTTGAATAAAACGTATCTTCCAAAAACGCTGTAGAAAAACCAAACATAGTGAGTCTGCACCGTTTGCCCTCGGGTGACATATTCCTAATGATAAATCCGATTAACACGGAAAGATCGGCGGTCAAAGTCTGCAGATAATCCGCTTCGTGCTGCGCAGAACTGGAGCCTTTCCGTCCCGCGTGGATCATTTGTAGCCTTTTTGGGAGACAAACAACAACGAGGTACTAGAACACACTGACTGGTAAACGATCACCAGCTGACATAAAGTAGGCCAGAAATGTGCTCGCCCAAAGTTCATTTACTTGCCCCGTACAAATTGGTTTATTAGTGGTTACCAAATACTGCAGAAATCACCCTTCACTTAAGCACATTAATCAGGAGCTTCCTGACTGTTTCCTGAGTGAGTGAAATGCTGAAGTTTGTCGCTGGATTTACTTGATGTGGCGTTTGACGCGTCGCAGTGTTTGTTTGCGTTGAGTGTCGCCAGTACCTCGCGGCGTGGATGATCCTCGTGGCGGCAGACGCGTACCGCTCCGTCAGCGTCCACGGGTCGAGCGGCTGCTCCACAATCCGGCTGTTCTCCATCAGGGGAAGGCCCACTTTGGAATAACAGTCACGCGGGCGCTCATGCGATCTGAACCACAATGGAGAGGAACGACATTACTTGTCGAGTTTGCAGGATCTTGTAAAGTGAAGGAAAAAAAGACGACAAATAAAACTAAATCCATTTACGGAGAGAGAGAGAGAGTCGCGTTTGTCACGCAGGAGACACACCTGGTCAGCGCAGAGTCACAGGCGGGACACGGGGGCAGGTTGTAACCAGGTGCGTCCGTGCAGCCCATGTCATTGCTGTAGGGGACGCCGAGGTAGTAGTCGAAGCCTGCCCAACAAACGGGACACATCTCAACTTTAACGCTTTACTAACAGGAGTTTTTTGACTTTGGACAGAGTAGAGTAGGTTTAGTCCACCACAAAAAGACTCTCTGAACATGTGATCGGTTTCACTGAAGCTTATGAAACTAAAAGGGTGAGAAGACGGGGGATTCCCGCGCAGCGCTCTGTCGAAGCAGAACACCGTCTGCGAGTTAAACACTCGGGGGGGATGTTGTTGAGTCAGCTGCAGGCCAAAGGTCCACAGCAAGCGGGACATCGGCGGGGAGGTTTTGTCCTTCGCAGTCTTTCCCCTGCAGCGAGCGAGGGGAGGGGGGACGGGACGGGGGGGGGGCTGTGCACGGAACATGCATCTAGAACAGCTGAGAAAGACTTCCTGGCACCATGAGACCGAACAGGAAATACACAGCGTAGCAGCGAGGGATGCGTTTAGCCGTGACGCACGCCCCTCTCAAAAGGTCGCGGGTTCAAAACGTCGAGCTCCTGCTCACCTCTGCTGGTTGGACCGTACGGCCCGTTGTGGCCGAGGTGCCATTTCCCGATCATGGCGGTGTGGTACGCGGCTTTCTGCAGCAGCCGGGGCAGGGTGACTTCGGACAGAGGCAGACCGGCCACGGAGCTCGCAGCAAAGTTGTGAGTCACGCCGTTCCTCAGGCCGTAGCGGCCCGTCAGGATGGCCGCGCGGGACGGGGAGCAGGTGGAGGCGGGGGAATGGAAGTCCGTCAATCTGGAAGAAGTTGGGATATTTTTAAGGACGCTTAACCTTGTTGGCACGTCCCGTGCGGTGCAGACCGTGAAGATTATCAGAGATAATCAGGTGTGTAGGATCTAAGCCAGGCTCTGGTGGGATGAGAACGCAGAGCTGCTCAGTAGATCGGCCGCAGGATGAAGGAGCGACGCGCTTACCGAAGCCCTTGCTCAGCCATCAGGTTGAGGTGGGGCGTGTTGTTGGACTTCCCTTCGCCCTGGTTAGCATCCAGGTCGCCCCAGCCGATATCGTCGGCCAGTATGATGATGAAGTTGGGCTTCTTCACACGGGCTCCATGTCGGGACGGCGCGTGGAGCAGCAGACCACACATCAGCATCAGCATCCCGGGCAAGAGAAGTGGGGTTAAGGCCCCCATGTCGGGCAGAGATCTGGAAAGTCAGTTCATTGAACTTTAGTTGGCACGAGCTTCACGTGACGACACTCAAGACCGATGACCTCATCCGTAACAGCATCCTGTCATTACCGCCGACACACAGGGGTGGAAAGAACATAAAAACAGAGATATCAGCATGCAACGTTGCATAACAAAACCACAGAAGAAGAAGAAGAAGAAGAAGTCTACGCCGTCCCTCCCCCGGTGGGAGGACGTGTAGGTGCGGGGAAGGATTCGAACATTTCTCACGCTCTATCCCACGAGGTACGACGTGTCCTGAGCCACTACTGCCCACCGCCGCAGGGGGTTGTGGGGGAGAACCGTCTGTAAGCTGATGCCGTTAAACCCTCACCCACCCATCGGGGGGGGAGGTATGAGGGGGGGAGCATGTCGTTAGGCGGGAAGGCACGCGGAGTCATCGAGGAACCTTAAAGCCGCTGCGGCCGCAGACAGGTGAGAGGCGCGCGACGCCGACTCCTTCTTCCCCGGACGCGAGCAGGACGCGAGGAGGACGCGAGCGGAGCGGAGCGGGACGCGGCCCGGACGCCGGGAATCGAGCGCGCGGCTCGGGAGGAAGAAACGTTACTCACGAAGTGTGAAGCGTGTTGGAGTCCAAACGTCCACCGGACCGACAGCGTTGCGTCAGCCGTCCAAACCAAACCACCCCCCGTTAATTAGGGGGGGAAACGGTGAGTGGACGGGTTTAAAGTTAAACGACACACGTGTTTAACTAAACGTGACTTAAACGCGTTTGTTAAGTAATTTGCTATTTCTTAAAAACAACAACAAGCTGCACGAGGGTCTGTTTCTGTAAGAGAGAGACAATGATTTACGATCCCGACCCGCCCGCGAGGGGGCGCTGTACCATTTAGATATCCACAATAAAACGTATTCAGAGTAGAGTTTTTTTAAAAACTTTTTATTCCTTTATTTTTAAACTGACCCATAGCCTTATATTTAATTTTATTCTTGCCCTATGTTGTCTTATCTGTCTTATTGTCCAACTGTCTGCTGTCATGCACCAGTCGCCAAGTCAAATTCCTTGTATGTCTGACATATTTTGGTTATAAATGATTCCTGAAGTACATTTAAAGAAATCAACAGCTTTGCTCGTTATCACATTTCTATTTTTCGGTTGCGTGTCTTCACAGGCCATGTCTCTGTGGACGCGTTTCTTGGGGCCCAACGTGTACCCGGAGGCCCCCGACGGAGGCTGGGGATGGGCGGTCGCTGCTGCCTTCTTCTTGGTGGAGGCTTTCACCTACGGTACCATCAAGATCTTTGGCATCTTCCTCCAGGACCTGATGGAGGAGTTTAGCGAGACAAACAGTCGGGTCTCCTGGGTCGTCTCCATCTGCGTGTTCGTCATGACCTTCAGCGGTGAGTACAGCTGATGAAGTAGAGTACGGACCGCGGAGTGAAATAATGGTGAGGTTTTGAGAATTCACGTTCCGTATTTGGCCTCAGGTCCTCTCTCTGCTGGGATGACGAACCGCTTCGGGTTCCAACTTGTTGTAATGACTGGAGGACTGCTTATTGCCACCGGCACCATAGCAACCAGCTTCACCAGCTCCATCAATCAAATGTACATCACCTACGGTGTAATTGCAGGTGCTTGATTGCTTTCTTGTTCCCATGTCTGAACGTCACATTGAGCTCATTTCATTTGGAGATGACGTACAGTGTGAAATCTTGAATCTTTTCCACTCTGAAGGTTTTGGCTACTGTCTGACCTTCCTGCCCACCGTGACCATCCTTTCCCAGTATTTCACACGCCGGCGGTCTCTGGTCATCGCCGTGGCCTCGACCGGAGAGTCCCTGTCCATGTGTGCACTGGCACCAGGCGAGCGCCGCAGCCTCCACAGACGTTCTATGCACACGGTTACATACATAAAACACGCCTTTGTACGGGGGTTATGAAAACCACCCGATCTATTCTTTTGTGTTGGACTTTGCACTCTTTATCTCAGGAGATTAGACACGTCGTTATGTGACTTCTCTAGTCTCAAACAATGTGAAAAGACATATTTGTATTAGAGGATTCAGAGGCTTAAGTTCAGCTCTAAAATACATTTTTCTTTTCTATGTAAAAAAAATAACCAAGAAAAGAGTTAAAACCACTATTAAGTCATCCGTGTAAAACCCACGAATAGTAACACTTGCATTGACCCTCGTGAACACGGGGCACTGTAGCTTATTTTGAGTCATTCCCACATGCTAATAAAAAGCCCGTTACAAACTATACACTTTGTAAAGCCTAAAGTGGAACCTGAGCTACAAACTGAATACAGTAATTAAGAGATCAACACGTTGTTGTTGTTGTGCTTTCATTGGAATAGCTGAGAACAGAAATACTTTTCTGGCCTTTTCCTTTAATATAAAAACACACGTTCCTTTCATGCTGAAGGCCCTTACGACCTCATTGTGATCAGTTTTCTGTACTGAACACCTCCTCCTGCTCCTCAGCCTTTTCTGCACTGAGGGACGTTATTGGCTGGCGACGCACCATGGCGGTGATCGGAGGCCTGCAGACCATCATAATCCTCTGCGGAGCTCTGCTTCGGCCGATCGTCATCATCAAGCCCGGAGCGACCGACGGATCGTCCTCAAAGCAGATGGAGGATCTCCGTACGTCAGAAGATGCTACGGGCGCAAACCTGGACGACTCCACGGTGAACAAAACCTCACGTGCACAAAACTCCGTGGTCGCTGCGCTCAACGGTGTCCAGGCTCTCCAGGGCACAGACAGCAGCAGCTCGGAGGAGAAGACACTACTGGGCGAAGAAGCGAGGACGTCTGCGGAAACCACGACGGGCTCTGAGACGAAGCAGAAAGGGAGCGACGCCGCCGAGAAACGGGCGACGAGCCCCGCCGGCCAGAAGCCGCCTCCCAGGAATTCCAAGCTTCTAGATTTCTCCGTCCTCGGGGAGTGCAGCTTCATCCTCTACTCTCTGTTCGGGCTGTTCGCCACGCTGGGCTTCTTCGCCCCGCCGCTCTACGTCATCGAGCTGAGCGTGAGCCGAGGCGTGGAGCGGGACACCGCCACCTACATGCTCTCCGCCATGGCCGTGGCGGAAATCGCCGGCCGCCTCTCCATCGGGTGGATCCTGACCCGGGAGCGCTTCAGGCAGAAGAAGCTGCTGGTGCTGCTGGTGTGCGTGGTCGGGATGACGGCGGATCTGCTGGGGTTCACGCAGGCCTCGGAGTTCTACGGCCTGGCGGCGTGCTGCGGTTTCTTCGGGTTCTTCATGGGGAGCATATCGTGCAGCCACATCCCCATGCTGGCTGAGGACGACGTGGTGGGGATCGAGAGGATGTCCTCCGCCGCCGGCGTCTACGTGTTCATACAGAGCTTTGCTGGGCTGGGCGGACCCCCGCTGGGAGGTAAGAGGCATCTTGCGGCGAGGAGGTTTCACTTTCCGGCAGCTTTTGTCTTCTGGAGACACGAGGACGGTGACATCAAGTATTATCGACCTTCTGGTGAAATAGCTGATGCCTGCTTCAAATAGCTACATGCATTATTTAGTGCCATCCATTTTCCTCTCCTTATTCGGGGTCAGAACGTGGATAATTCCGCTTTTCAGTACGATAAAGTTAAGGGACGTGGAGAAGACGCATGAACTAAAAGGTGGAAGGCAAAATATCCACACCAAATACTACATTTCCCATAATTCAGCTCGATGGCTTTATCTTAGTTTACTTCCCTGATAGAGTCCAGTAACCTGGATGAAATCACTATGACATCATCAGGGTTATTTCCTCAGCTCACCTCTACCCCCCCCCCCCCCCCTCCCCTCAGGCGTGCTGGTGGATGCGACTCAGAACTACGGATCGGCCTTCTACTCCTGTGCAGCCGGCATGGGACTGGGCGCCCTGTTCCTGGCCTTGGTGAGACCTGCTAAGAAAGGAGTGCTCTGCAGGAGCAGGAAGTCCAAGCAGCCTGAAGGCAACCATGAGAAGAACGGGGACTCCGAGTGCAGCGCATGAACGGGAGGATCTGGAGAAGCATCGGAGAAGAGCAGCAGAGGTCCTATGAGGGTAAAACGGAGTCTAAAGACGACAGTATTCAGGTGTTGAAGTTAGAAAATAAAGAGAAAGACCAAAGTCTTTATGATCCAGGAACATTCTTTAGAACGTTTTGCACACTGTGCCTTCCCGTATGTACCAAACTGTGTTTAATTCTACAGGCAATGTCCTGGAAATGCTTTAAAGTTGGACCACTAAATGAGCTTCAGGTGACTCCAGCTGGTGTTGTGGTCTTTAGCTCACAAGTAGAGCTGTAACGTGTGGACAATGGATTGATGAAGCTTCCAGATGCTGCACAGTGCAAAATGTAACACAATTACTTGATAAACTAATAACCTGCCTGCAAACAAAGCAAAGCCATACAATGTGATTCAAATGTAGCTGTGAGAACAGTAAATTGCACAAATTCTGTAACGTGTAGAAAACGCATCAAGCTCAGGAGTGTAAACGTGTTTCTGACCAAACCGTTGCTAAGCTGACCGTGGAATGTTATGTAGTATAAGACGTCAGAAATCAAACTATTTTTCTATTCTTTTTCATGATAATGTGGTCATAATAAAGCAAGAATGACACGAATCACATGATTACGCTGAAAGTTTTTTTTTTATACACCTCAACTTATTCAACTGCTATTGGGCTGGTCACATGATTTTGCTTTGATATATTAATTATATAATTTATGTACAAATGGCAAATTATTTCCATTCAGAAAATATATTAAACGGAACTCAGCATTTCATCCTGTCGAGAAAAACCAAATTGCCATTTGACCTTGTGACCCCTCTGGTTATCCTGAGATTTGCTGAAACTGAAGAACAATGTGGACTCTGTTTCACCTTCAAATAGCAGCACAAATGTTAAGCACATATTTAAATGCTTTGCATGAATATGTCAGAGTTGTTGCATTTAATTCCAGATCTTCTGCAGACTTGTGAACAAGTAGAATATTCATCTCGTGGCCACAGTGGTTTTGGAAATGTGGAGCACAGACTGAGGCGGTGGAGGCCTCTTCTGGTCTGGATCCTCCACCCTGACCACGCTCCACCCAGGGCAGGCCTGTGGAACACGGGTAAACTTTCACTTAAAGGAGGTACGAAAAAGGGCATAAAGGCACACGTTCTGTTTTCTATGGAAGATGTTTTTTTTTTACCATTTTGAAACCGATGGCGACCTGCAGCTTGCAAAGGCAGATACACACAGCTCAACCACTGGCTGTGCTTTATTTATTACGCTTTACTTCAAAAATGTGGCCCAACTCGCCACCGGCAGTATTGAGTGTTTTCATCAATAGTGAGAACGTTTGGCCAGACCGCTCAAAGTGCAAAGGGAGTGAGGGGTGGAGCGTGTTTGTCAGGATGGAAGCAGCAAGGGGCTGGTGATGGGGTGATGGGGGGAGGGGGTTGATGTCCATTCACAAACACAGAGTAGCCCCCCTGCTTCAGCCGCTCTGCAGAGCTGCTGCTGTCTGAGTAGTCGTCAGTGTCAAACACTAAATCCTGCAAGCACACAACTCACAGGATGTAGGCCACTAAACTAAAAGCTCCCCAGGCTTTTGCACAGCGCCACCTCGTGGCAGCTTAGCCACAGTACATGATCAGAGACCACTGACAACGTTGAGTGTGTTTATGATCCACTTTGTTCAAAAATATATCTCAAGTCTGATGCAATATTTATTTTAGTATCGTCCTGGCGTTTCAACAGCACATGTACAGTATGGTGAGGTCTCCTGAAGGCCAAAAAAGGCAGCTTTATTGTTAGTAATGTAAAACGTGGAATATAATGCATGGCAGAAAATCTGACAATATAATATATAGAAAAAATGGATGGAAAATAAAATCCAAATGGACACGTGGATGGTTTATATAATAGAGGTAACGTGGCTTGCAGACGAAATAAATTAAAAGTTAATACTCATGTGAACGCCCACGGAATTTATTGGTAAAATCAATGCATACGTTTCAATGTTTAGACGTAAACTAACTAGTTCACGACGGTCGCTCCGTTTCCGGTCTCTCCTTGATTCCGATGACGTCATGTAAACAGAGGGGCGGAGCTCTTAGAGGGAAACATTGACGAGCAGCAGACGCGGCGCTGCTATGGCACACCTAGCGACCTCCCGTCATCGCCGGTCCTGCTGCGGGCTGAACATAGAATAACCAAAACTTTTCTAAGTTACTTTTCCTGAAATCGGGGTTGTGTCGAGAACGGCCAACAGCTAAGTACGACTCGCGGCCGCTGGGCGGAGTACGAAAGCGGAAGAAGTTGCCGAACGCGTAACGTTCGTGCGGCTCCGCAGCGGTTAGCTTACGTCGTTAGCTTAAGCCGTTAGCTTAAGTCGTCTAACGTCGCACGGCAGCAGCTAGCAGGCTAGCTAGCAGGCTAGCGCGCTCCCTTCGCTGTCATGTCCGGGCTCTCTCGGGCTCGTGCTGCTTGAACGAGGGTTCCTAGCTAGCAGTTAGCTGGTTAGCTATCAGCCGCCCAGCAGCAAAGGCGCAGGCGGGGCGGACTGGACCTGCAACGGGGACAGATCGGGGACACGCGGCGGGGGGTTTGGTGCTTTCCTCCGGGGAACCGCGAGCCGACACGCAGCCTCTCCGATGAGACGAGAGCGAGCCTGACACGCCGAGTGACCCAAACCAAAGCTCTGCGGTCAGATCTCTCTCTCTACCCGGCTTCAAAAGGAGGCTCTACCTTTCCTCTGTGCCAAAGAAACAAAAAGCCACAAATATCCGTCATCGCCGCAGAGATGCTGACTGACAGCAGGTAACACATCCTTCATTAAGAGCCGGTCATCGCGTACGATATTACGATCGATCGTTACAACACAGCTGAGAGACCAATACAGTGTTTAATCACTACGTATGTAGTATGTTCCTCAACGTGTCCTCGTGATGGGAGTGCCACATGTAACTCTGATCATGTAACTGCTTGGGTGTGTGTTGCTATTTTTGGTTCCTCTTGATTCTCTTCTTCCCCGCCTGCAATATTTTCTGTCACAATCTTCCCTTCTGTGTTCAATTCGCTCAATGTTCCATTTCTGTGTTGCACAGGAAACGACACCGTAACTGTGACAGTGAGGAGGACCAGCAGCTGAGTTCTCAGGCCAAGAGGTCAGGGGGGGGTCCCAGCCTGCTCCTGTCAGATCTGGATTCAGAGGTGAGATTGACTTGGTCTTTGCGTGTGTTGCTAGAACATCAGAGAGAGAGAAAAGTCTTTGTTTTGTAGAGGACAAATCCGCCAAGGTCATTTATTTTCCATAAAGTGTATTGACGTCTGTGGACGGGGGCGGCAAGTACATTTGTCTCTGCATGGCGTATGTAGTGCAACACAGTCAGGAAAAGCACAGCATGTTTTATTTACAGCATCTGCATCCTTCCACCCATTAAGCTCCAACTCTGAGCCCCTCTCGGTTCTGCTTTTACAGTCTTCCAGCAGCGACAGCAGCAACGGGATCAGCAGTCCAGAGAGAGCGCTGGTGGCTACCACCAGGCCATGCATACACAGCCAGAACCACTGCATCACCCAGTGCCCCCCCAGCCCAAAGCCCGAAGACTCCGGTTGTACCTTGCAGCGCGGTTTCCATGGCGACGGCAGCAGTGTCTCCTACGACCACATCAACAGAGTCCTGAGGGAGGCGCACTTCAACAGTCTGCAGACCAGAGGGCGTCCGGGCTCAACATGACCGTTGACCCCTGATCCCCCCCCCCTCCTGACCTCCGGGGCCACCAGTGCTGACGCTATTAGCGCGGTGGCTCCTCCTTGAAAGCCTCAAGGAACCCATTAGGGTCAGGGGGGGGGGGGGGGACGATGTGTGGGGGATGATGTGTGGGGAGGTTTACAGAATTTTGGCACAGCGGCTCATCCCCCACCTCACCATGTACCATTTGTCGAGCCCATAAACACATCCGTTTTTCCATGGCCAACCCACTTGGTTTTCTTGGGCAGTTCCGTTGTGTGTTTTTGGGGGCGGGTCCCCCCCCCCTGTCCCTTTTATAAAGGGGAATCACTCTCTTTACATTGGGGGCTTCGAGGGGGGGACTTTCTTCATTGGGGTTAATATCAAAAAGCGTCCGATGATCCAAAGTGCTTGGAAAAATTAAATAAAGCGAAGCACTTTACCCAATACCTCCTCTTTCTTTTTCCGGGGGGGGGGGGGGGGGGCGAAGGTTTGTTTGAAGTGGGAGATGTTTCCCTCCCGCTCACAAAGGAAGTTCAACGGCTTCCCATTATTGAAGCAATCCAGAAAAATGCTTTTTGTTCCAACCAAAGTGAAGTTAAATCGTGTACTTTCAGTGCGATGCTTTAGGTTTCTGTGCGCCGGTTCACGGTAACGGAGCTGAGAGTCTTCATAAGCCACCGGAGCCCCTCGGATTAGATCCTGGCTAATTATAGAGCCGCGGCTCACGCAGCGTAGCACTCGGCACAGCGCGTCCCAAGAAATCAGCTCGGAACTGTTTTACTTCAACGGCGGACTCGTCCTGCGTGGTTCACAATGACCGACGCGCTGCGTTGCAAATAAAATGAGAGCCGTGGAAGTGATTCATTCTCCGCGTTGGAAACGTGTCAGCGGTGCATTTAAATACAGACTGGTAGTTAGTGCTGCAACAATACAGCAGGTTTTATTGTTCTTCTGTCTGAGCTGCAGAAAGGAGACACGATCAGCGTTCATCGGACACGTCGGCCGGTTGGATCACGTTTGTCCCGTGTTCTACATTCCACACGGCAGAATGGAACAAACAGAGAAAGTAATCTGCCTTCAGTCGGTTCCACGAACAGCAGCTCCTGAAATAGTTATTTTGCATTATGCTGATCGGGCAGATGTTTTATTAAAACAATACCACACAAGTTATGCACACAAAACACTTCAGAAAGGAACTCCATATTATATCCACTTATCTTTAATCATGCACTCTACAACCACTCCCATGGGTTTGTTTTAAATCAATACAATAAATAAAACTACCACTCAGATTTACTCTGCTGTCAATATCAAGTACCAAAAATATGGAAGAACACTCATTTGTAGGTTTATGGGACAGTTGGATGAGCAGCAGTAGTGCAAATTACAAATGGAGGGATTCTCCCTCAGAGGTTTAAGACGCGCTGACGAGGAAGAAGAGTAGTTTCACTTCGCTAAAAAGAATCCTGAGAAAAATAAACTTAATAATAAGCTGTAGTTCAAGGCAAGAAATCTCGTTTCACACTTTAGACTCCAAACAAAACCAATAACAGTTTCTCACGGCGCTCACACGGGACAGCAGCGTCCTAAATGTGAGACGCTCACACAATCAGCAGCTTCCACATCGAAAGAATCTGAGCCAACTGATCGGATCCTGGTTTATAAAATTAAATCGATTTCTAAAAGTGTACACGTGATGACATCATTAGTTTAACCGCAAAAGTTTCAGCCAAACGACGTTGGTCAAAAGTTGAGAAAGGAGAAGGCCGACGGCGGCTGGCTGCCGACGCCGGCCGAAGGAGCCTCGTCGCTGGCGGCGCAGAGGCCGTTGTGTGCGGCTGCGTTCGCCGGAGGGGGCGTTTCCCTCGTGAAGCTCCCCTTAGTCACCAGCTCCATGCCGCTGAACAGGGAGCGTCTGCCCGGACGGACCTGCTCCCCCCGGCGCCCAGCGGGACCGGGAGAGCTCCCGTTCGTGTGCAGCTCCGAAACCTCAGGCCCCGATTTCCCCTCAGCGGGCCGGACGGGCTCCGACTGGTTTTGCGTTAACCGGTGCAGAGCGGCAGGAAGTTCCCCCCCGTCGCCGTCACTCATCAGCTCCGCCGAGAGGTCGCTCTGCCGACCAGAGGGGGGAGTTGGGTGGTTTGGTGGTTGGGGGACACCTCTGGGGGAGACGTCGTCGGTTCTGCCAGCAGAGAGGTTTGGTACCAAAGGGTCCAAGTGTGCGGACGTGGCGAGCAGATTAGTTGTGGCCTGATGGCCGCTGCTCGCCGTGTGCGGCCTCGGCGCGTGTCCAGACCCGCCCATCAGAGCTTCAAACTGACGCAGGATCTGGTTGGAGGAGATAAGAACAAAATAAAAAAGAAAGCACACTTATTGTTTTTTTTTTAATTACATACTTTCTATGTATGTATTTATTTTCTTACCTTGGTGGCTTTGTTGGCCACAGGTCCTGGAGCCCCCTCGCTCAGGGGGCGGAGCCTTCGTTGTGTAGCGCCAAACATTTGTTCCAACGAAAGGAGGTCGGAGGTCAGGAGGCATGATACGCCACACAAGGCCCGCTGGAGGTTTGGGGGGAAAAGAGACGTGTGCGTGAGGGAGAGATGCCTTCTATAGTTAAGATTTACATCAATCCAGGTTCTTCTTAACGATTGTTACCATCTTAACCGTGTTTGAGGGATCTTGAAGTTTGCTTGAGAGCAAATCCAGCACGACCTCACAGTTGAGAACGGAGCACCTGACGGATCCAAATAAAACGGTAAATAAAAAGCATTCTTCAAACAGTCAAAGAGCAGTTCGATGCACGGACTCTTTAGTGAAGTGCTGGCTCTCCTCTCTGGACAGGAAAACTCTGGATCCTTCCGTCAGTCTGCTGATCAACGCCATCTCCAGGCCGCAGTCCCCCAGCTGCAGGGCCTCCACCCTGCAGAACGGAAGGTGTGCGGGGCTCAGAGACCCTCTCCGATCCGACTAGGGTATAAATAGAGCCGGTCGTCAGCCGACTCGGCCGCTCACCTCTCCGATGGGTCCCCGCTGCTCCCTCTGCTGGCCCCCGATTGGCTACCAGCTGACTTGCTGCCCACGGACGCCCTGCTGTTGGCCGCGATGTCCTGAGAGGAGTTGTGAGAGGAGCTGTTGCCGCTGTCGGTCTCCTCCCAGCCGCCCCCCACCTGCCCCGGACACCGCTGGGCCGCCGCTGCCGTGAGGACACGCGGTGCTGCGTCAATTCACGATCAAGAGTCAAATAAGTCTCGACGCGCTGCTACAGAGCGAGCTGCTCGACGGCTCATACGTTTCCGACCTTGTGGTGCGCGAGCCGGCAGGTTGTAGGCACACGCGGGCACCGCCACCTCGATGGGCGCGGACGGAGCGAGTACGGCCCGGTAGTAGTTGTCATGGAGACGGATGCCCTGGTGTTCGCTGGGGGGCAGGACGGCACTGGCCACGACCTCTGCAGCTTTCTGGATCTTCTCCAGCAGAGAGTCGCCGCCTCCTGGTCGGAGCAGGTAAGGACACAGAAGAAAGCTGCAGAAAACTCACACGGATGCTTAACTGGGTTTCTGTGCGTTTGTGTCCCTCACCGGTCCCCTGCTTCCCCGGACTGTATCCAAAGCCCTGCATTCCTGACCTGTGGGAAGTTGTCGAGCCCATTCCTGCGCAGAAAGGCCGGTGACCTCTCAGCTTTTAGTTCACAAAATACAAGTAACCTGAACGCAGGTAGCTCATTTGAATGACAGAAAATAAGTATTCTAACTGGAAAAAATGTATACATCCTTAAATGAAGTCATTATACAATCAAATGGCAGTCATTTTATTTATTATCCATCACTCACCCATTGTGGGCGGGGCTAGGTGGAGCGGGGCGACGCCGTCTTTGGTGGAGATTGTATCTGTGAAAAGCAACCTGGCCACTTCCTGAGAATAGAAACAGGACCAGTTGAGTGCATTTGTGTCACGGTGTCTGGTTGTCATGGTGATGGTTCACAGCCTCAGCCTCACCTGTGCCGTATTTCGGACTTTCTGGTACAATCCCGTTCCGTGGATGGCGTCCGGAGGCCCGCTGTAAACTTAAAAAGGCAGAAACACGCGTCGGTCGAGCGAAGTCGTCAGAGCGGCGAGCGGCCGCGCAGCGTCAAATAGAGCTGAAGCCAAAGCGACCAGCGTCTAACCTGATGCCTGCTGGATGAACGTGGAGTTCCTTCGAAGCTCTGTGAGGAAGTAGTTTGAGCCATGACCACAAAGATGGACGAAGATCTTCAGCACCTAAAACCGCATGGAGCAGAACATGGAGGAACTCGCAGAGAGGAAACACGTTCTGCGCCTCGTGCTTTGTGGCTACGCGCCACGGAATGATCACTGTTCTCACCTTGAGTTTGACATGACAGGACTCCACCTGTAACCTGTCCAGAAGGTACTCCAGCAGACACTGACCGCAGCTTGAAGACTCGTGGGAGATTTCTACAGTGTAATGATGGTTAAAGAGTTTCACCGCGCGGCGTCTGATCTGAGATTGAAGTTAGAAAACTAGAAAATAACATCAGAACTGCGAAGAGCATTTTCCTGCATTTCTTGTGTGGAAATGACTGATGTGCTTTAAAGTCACGACTTTCATTTGGATCCACATATAAAACCATGAATGGATTTTCCCTGCAGGGCTTTTATTGGTGGCGTTGGAAGACAATTCTTCATTTAAGAGCTTTACAATATTGGTGAAACTGTGAAAGGATACTTCCGATGTCTTGGAAAAGGTAGCCGGGACAGGGGGTCTCATCGTCGGCTGTGGCCTTCATCAGAGTTGGGACCTTCAGTGGACGGAACGGATGAAAGGTTAAAGTCTGGGACCAGATCAACGCGCGTCACACAGCCAAAGACCCTCAACCAAAGACCGGACCTCACACGTCAAACTTCCAGCTGGAACACAGACTGAGGCAGCTTAGTTTGGGTTTAACGAGGCCGCGAACCTCCCTGCAGCTCTGAAACAAGCCGGCGGGTCAACAGGAAAACAAAAAGGCATCAACAAAATGTGTTGTCGTCTTACTACGAGCTAGCATGCTACTAGCAAGCTAGCGCTGGCACAACTTGACGGATACAAACGGACACGCCACCGTACGTCGCGTAGACGTCAAGCCGTCGGTAGCATTGACAACAAGCAATGATCGTAGACGGCGCTTACTTTCTGAAGAAAAGCCAGTCGTTCCATAAATGTTGCCATGATTTAGCGATCCCGGCTGCGGCTTCACTCATCTTACTCCGAGGGGTGCGAGTGGAAGGCGGGTTTCGAGGTGACAGCCAGCCAATCGGTGAACAGGAGGAAGCGATGCTGAAGCGCCATTGGCGTTCCGCTAACGCCCTGACGGTCAAAAGACAGCGAATCGACATGCGGGAAACTGAAGCTGACTGTTGGAGTGACAGGCGCATTGGCGAATCACATGACCGAATATCCTGCGGGGACACTTCCTTGATGACGGGGTCAACAATATGGCGCTGTCCGTGTTTCACAGAAATGCTTCATTTGTCAGTTGATGTGCACTTTTTTAGTCACAGCTTTATACGTCTGTTGGTAGATTCAACAAAACCGTGAAGGGTTATCGGTTCAATTTACTTAAAGCCCAAAGGACTTCCGTTTGAGGAGGAAACATGTCTGGGTCAAACGCCTGGAGCCGCAGTCGAGAGAAGATGAGACTTTTCCCTGAACTGTTTGCACAGTGCGCAGGAGAGGTAAGCTATGACGTCATCTCTGACGAGAGAAGTTGTAATTATGTTCACGTGTCCACCTCGTTCGCATTTATATGATTTCCATCTAGCTGCCTGAACGCATCAGTTTTCACTCATAGCGAACTGAAGAGGTCACATTTACATTTAACAGCATCGGACGTCATCGTGCCTACAGGCTGCTGCTGGAATACAAACTCATTTATTAAGAGTTACAATTGTTACAGTAAAGTCTAAAGGTTTACTGTAGAGGGCGATGAAACCACCACAGTTTCCCATTGGTTGTGTAGCTGATTTGTATTTGATTGTTTATGAACATCCCTCTGCTGGTTAACAGGGTCACGCTGTGGTTGACAGTTACTGTCCTTAATGCAGGATTGCAAAATGATGAAATCGTTGATAAGTGTACGATAAAAGTGTACATGCTACACGTACAATGTCTAAATTGTGTTGCAGAGAAACCAGATTGTCAGAGTGGATGTGTTAAAAGTCAGCAGCGTGAATACGTGAGGATAACGCGTGACTCCATGACAGGCGGCGTCGTACGGGAAGTGCGTGGCGGCTTCCACGACGGGCCGACAGGAGCTGAAGAAGGACACGTGCGCCAAGGAGTTCCAAGCGCTGAAGACCTGCTTCACCGCCGCAGTGAGTGATCGGGGCCCCCTGCCCCACGCACGTGGGCCTGATGAGAGAGTCACCGCGTAAAGGAATCATCTTTGTTACAGGCCAAGAAAAAAGCCAGATGAATGGAATCCGTCCAGGTTTTGTCCGAGCTGGAAGGGAAGCGACGCGGCGGGACGACTTCTGGCGCTGCCTGTTAAAGACGTGTCACGCGTGTAAAGTAATACTGACTGTATTATACGCAGGTGAATAAAATGTTGCTTTATTCTCCGCACATGGATCAACAGCCACGACCTTCATGTTTTTGTTCATACTTATCAGCACGATTTACAGTAATACAATACAGAGAAAATACAAAAATAGCATCTTTCAGAAAAATGTGATGGCAAAGAAACACTACGAACCGCACACGTTCCTGCTACTGTCCTAAACCCAACGTGCTTGCTTTATAATCTTTACAGTAAGCGCAGGGGAAGAGGAAAAAGAACACAATGCCACATTTAGTTGTGATTTAACAGCCGCGTGTGGATATTAAAGGCACTGATACCGGTACTTTGATTTTAAAGTATAGTGAATAAACTCTTGAACCCACATTACATCCAATATGTGGTATATATTTTAGGTTTTTAAAGACAACCTTTAACATTGAGGAAGATTTAACATACCAAGTAAAATGTATAATTAAAGCAGAAGATAAATATTTCAAATTGAACAGAACATCAGCACAGGAGACAAAGCACAAACTTGTCCTACAGAGAGGCTCCTGTTAGGGGGTGAATGAAAAGTGACTCCGATACACAACCGTCAATACATCCACCCGGTCCAGACACTAAAGTATTGCATGGATTTAAACATTACAACTGTGACCTCAACAATCCCCCCCCCCTCGAGACAAAAATAAATTATTATTTACATGCACATTGCTCTTTGATGAAAGTCTTTGGGTTGTTTGCAGAGTATGCGGTTCCTCTTTGTCCACATCGTGTATCTGAAGGCAACAAAGAATGCAAAGCTGTGTGTGTGTGTGTGTGTGTGTATATGTGTGTGTGTGTTATATCGCTGCCTCGTCCTCTGAGGCCTGTTTAATCTGCCGTGAGTGCACCACTGCCCCAGCCAGTAGCTGCTCCTCCAGGGCCGCGTGCAGGTCCGAGCCCCCCATCTCCAGCAGGGGCTCCAGCCCCGCCATCCCCCTGGACACCCCGGTCTCGTCTCCGGGTCCCAGCGCCCTGCGTCTCCGTCTCAGATCCATCCCTCCCGGGTCGCCGGCCCTCTCGTGGGAAGCCCGGGGCCGAGCCTCTGCTTTGACGGCGCCGTCCTCCGCGGCTTCTCGGGGGGGCGCCTGAGCGTCGGCGTTCTGTTTGAGGTCCCGTCCTCCTTTCTTCAAAGCCCCGGCGTCTTCCCTCTCGGCCCCCAGTGCCGCCTGCCGGTCTCCCAGCAGGCGCTGCAGCTGGGCCAGCCTCTCCCGAGCCGCCTCTGCGCTTTCCTCCTTCTTCGCTCGCTCGAGTATTTCATTGTCTGCTTTCTGCAGCTCCCGCTCACGTCTCTCCTTCTCGGCCTTTTCCTCTGCGAGTTTGTCCATCACGGCTCTCTGTATCTCCAGCTCCTGCTCTTTGGCCAGCGCTTCCTTTATCTCGCGGTCACGCCGATCTTTTTCCATTCTCGCCTGAACCTCTTTCTCTATCTGTTCTTTTTTAAGACTTTCAATTTTCCTCTTCACCTCCTCTATGCTTCTTTCATCATCTTTGAGTTGTGCTGCTGGCTGACGGTCGTCCTCAGGTATTTTATTCACCAGTGGGACTCCCCTCGCCCCCAGTTTGCTCTGCTCATGGGGTTCTCCTGCTGGTGCAACATGGCCGTCCTCCTTGTAAGCGGCTACTTCTGGACCCCTGAGCTCTGACCCCGGCCTGGCTGGTGCTTGATTCTGGTCCACGGCCCGAGGCTGCGCTCCTCCAGCAGTTTCAACGCCAGCTGCAGCAGGAGCACCAGCTCCAGCAGCAACTCCACCAGCAGCTGCAACTCCAGCACCAGCTCCTCCACCGGCAGCGGCTGCAACTCCAGCACCAGCTCCTCCACCGGCAGCAACTCCAGCACCAGCTCCTCCACCGGCAGCGGCTGCAACTCCAGCACCAGCTCCTCCACCGGCAGCGGCTGCAACTCCAGCACCAGCTCCACCGGCAGCGGCTGCAACTCCAGCACCAGCTCCTCCACCGGCAGCGGCTGGAACTCCAGCACCAGCTCCTCCACCGGCAGCGGCTGCAACTCCAGCACCAGCTCCACCGGCAGCGGCTGCAACTCCAGCACCAGCTCCACCGGCAGCGGCTGCAACTCCAGCACCAGCTCCTCCAGCAGCTACAACTGCAACTCCAGGACCAGCTACAGCAGCAGCTCCAACTCCACCAGCAGCTACACCGCCAGCTTCACCAGCTACACCACCAGCTTCACCAGCTCCTGCACCAACTCCACCAGCAGCAGCTCCATCAGCAACTCGAGCTGCAACCTCAGCCCCGACTCCAGCAGCAGCAGCACCAACATCAACTCCAGCTTCCTTCTTCCCATCAGACTCCAGTCCAGAGTCTTTGTTCTTTTCTGCTGCACCCTCCATCCCATCTGGGAGTCCTTTCTCTGCCTCACCGTCAGCAGCCCCTTTAAATAAAAACATCTTTGTCACAATTATTTATTCCTTTTAAAATCAATGTCGTGAGACATCTCAGCAAAGCGTGCACCCACCAGCAGGCTGTTTCAGGTGGATTTCCTTGTGTTGCTCTTCTATGAGATCCAGTAGTTTTTCCTGCTGGTCAAGAAGTCTCTTCTGTTGCTCTTGCTGCTGCTTGATGACCTGCAGCAGCACTGCGTGGTCCAGCTGGCCTTCTGTAGGACAGACAGGTTGGATTAGAAAGGTCACGCGCTGATCTCAGAGCGTGGCTTTGGTTAAGAAGCGTCGTTAGACGTCTGTAGGGTCTCTAGGTGAGAGGGGAAGGGGAATATGGTTTAGTACCGTCTCCATTAACAGGAAGGAGCGACTGTAGACACAAACTAGGTTATGGGGAGCAAAGTGAGCGGGAGGCTTCTACACCGGCACATTGTTTAGTTCTAGGATAAAAATGCATATTACTGAATGCATTGTACGTACAGTTTGTCTAAATGTTCATTAACTCAGTGAGTGAACAAAGACGCCGAGCAACAGACAGATTAAAGAAAAGAGGGAGTTCATACCTGCAACCAGTTTTTTTATCACTGATACGAGTCCAGCAGTAAAATACAGAACAAGGTAAAGAGGGAGAGAGAGAAGGCAAAAGTAAACAGAACAAGAAAGTCAACAAAAGCCAAAAAGACTGAACAGCAAGGTAAGAAATAAGAGTAAGAAATGGATTTGTATTTTTCTGCTGTGCTTTAAAACTGTCTGTACCATCAAAACAAGCACGATGAACAAGATCAGAGAGATTAGATCATACGAGATAAAAGTGAGATATGAAGAAGAGTCGGGGACGTCAACAAGCAGCAAACAACACGGTGTTACGATTCAGCCAAAAACAAAGAAACTCTCTTCAATTATCTTTAACTTGCGTTTTGCTGTTTTTATTTCCTCTTTCCTGCAACACGTCTCCATCTCTCTAAGTATTACTGAAGGAGGAAGGTCGTGCTCGCTACAAGCCTGTTCACCGTTGGATGTAAAACCCAAAGAGCGACACGTTTAAATTGTTCCTTCACTCACCCTCCATTTTCTCATCTGCGGTGTCTTTGCCGTCTGCAGCTGCATCTCCAGCAGGACGAGGGTCTCCTTCAGAAAGTGGAGCTGAAGAAGAACCGAATATCACCGCGCTGTACTTACAGTTGTTTCATGGGGGCGTGGCTCATACTCACGTTTCCCTGCAGCATCTGGCGCTTCGCCCGCTTCGTTGGCCCCCGCGGCCGGATCGAGGTCCCCGTCGTCTTTTGGCTGGAGGACGTCCTGCCCTTTGTCTGCCTCGGCGACGGGCTGCTCCCCTGCTTCATTGGACTGGACTTCCCCTCCACCCAAATCCACGCCCTCCTTCCCCACGACAGCCACCACCACAGGCTTCGGGTTCTCTTCGGCGAGCTCGTCTTCTCGGCGCTGTGCCCCCCCCGCGGCGCCCAACCCCCCTGGCTCCTTGTCTCCTTTAGGTTCCTCGGGTGGTTTCTTGCCTTCCTCCAGCTCTGCGTTGTTCTTTCTGTTGTCCACCTTGACCGCGTAGTGAGGGATGGGGGGTTCATGCCGATGGGCCTCGCCCTCTGCCACCGCAACACCTGCAACACCACAACCCCCCCAACTTATTCTCATCAGCTCAAGTGAAGCCAGTGAAGACTCCAGCACCGCCTCAGCCTCCTTACCGGCCCCAGGGCGGTCCAACTGCACCTCCTCCTCCTTCCTGTCAGGTAGTTCCACTGGTCCTTTAATCTGGGGGGGCTCAGGAGGCTCCCCCTCTACGGGTTGGACCACCTGCACCACCGGAGGGTCCGGTTTGTCCATCTCCACCGGCTTCTTAGTGGCAGGGTGGTCTACGACAAAAACAATATCCATCACAACACGGACACTGTTACTGAACACCGCCCGTACCACGCCAGCCGTACCACGCCGCCCGTACCACGCCGCCCGTACCACGCCGCCCGTACCACGCCAGCCGTACCACGCCAGCCGTACCACGCCGCCCGTACCACGCCGCTCGTACCACGCCGCTCGTACCACGCCGCTCGTACCACGCCGCCCGTACCACGCCGCCCGTACCACGCCGCCCGGGGCACAGATCCAATCACCAAACTGTGTTTCCTCCTACGGTAAAATGACCGAATGAGTCAATAGATTTATACAAACATAAAAGGTTATTTACGGAGGAATCAGCTTTACGGTTGTTTATTTATTCCACCGTTTTGTCTGTCTGAGGAAATAAACGACCTTTCTTGCATTACTATTTAACACTGACCCTGACGTGCGCTCTTTATCTCCTCGTGCTGCTGTGTTTATTACACACATTACCGGCTGGCATTAAAATAAATGAACACCTCTGGCATGAGCCGCGCGTACTGATGCTCTCTGTAGTAATTGAATAAAGGCCGACTAAGCCGGACAAGCAGAGCCAACAGCTGCTTGGTTTAATCACTGAGCCGGAGACAGAAGAGACGAGAGGGAGACGCATTTACACTGAAAGGGACAAACAGGAAACAGGTGTAAAAGGTTCCACCACAGGCGTTTTATCTACAGTCAAACTGTGAGGACGGAACACAATAAATTCAAAGTAGTCGAGGGCAGAAAAGAACGAATCAGAGGGATGGAGAAAGCAGATCTTCACTGGTGCTCCGGCTAGAAAAGGACGCCATCGAAGGAACCAGAGGGGAAGGAGAGCAAGTGGAAAGGAAAAACCTCTTTCTGTTTCACCCTAAAATGACAACGATAAGTCAAAAGGTTCCCTGACCATCTCCGTTTGTTTTCTTCTGCACCATCAGCCCCCCCACCCCCCCCCCCCCCCTTTTGGACAGCCCAGAGCTCGCGGGCATTTCATAGCTGCCACAGGAGATGTGGGGAGGGAGACGGAGACAATGTATTTTGGGGGAGAGGGGGGGGCAGGAGAAATGAGCAGAGGGGTGGAGAGGAATTACTGGAGCTTGAAGGGCATCACTCTCGCTCCATCAATGTCGAGCTCTCAGATACTGTCAAGGTTTTCTCCTCGTCCGCCTGTGAGTCCATCACTCTGCCTTTCTTCTCTCACACATGAAAGAAGCCCTTTCTTTGGCTTTGTGCTTCTGCCTCAGTCTCACCGGCACTTTGCCCCCGGCTCACGTTGTCTTCGCGTTGCCGTCTCAGCCCACGACTTTGAAGACCAGAAATAAACGTCTCCATGGTTGTGAACTAACCCCCCCCTCTATCGTCCAGCCAGTAGACGAGTTAAAGCCATCAGCCGAGTCGGGATCCTTACCGTGTAGTTCAGGAAGGCTGTTCTTGACAGGTGCCGGAGGGGGAGGAGCTTGGACCTTGGTGCGGGGGCTGGAGGCCGAAATGGAGAGTGTTGTGAAGGTGCTGACCAGCAGGATGCCCAGACCCACGCAAAGCACCAGCTGAAGGTCAGGGAGGAAGAGGAGAGGTCAGCAGGTCAGTCAATGACAGGTCGACGGGGGAAGTGCTCGTTCCGAGTGTGAAACCTGAGAAATGATGGTGTTCTTCTGGATCTTCTTGTAGATGAGAGCAGGACATATGAAGCAGATGAGGCTGCCCATAGTGGCTCCAGTCAGACCCAGAATGGTTTCCACTTAGGAGGAAAGGAACAGGAAGACGGGGACATTGAGATAATGACTAAAAAGGTTAGCTCAGACAAATGAAATAAACTGTTGATGTACTAAGTTGAAGTAACAGTTTAAATGAAAAAAAAATCAAAAAGTAATGCATGGTATAGAAATAATAATAACAACATCACGTTCTGTGGCGTTCCGCTCAAATCAACAACGCGTTTTGATTTAGCTCATCTTGTAGGGATGTGGACCAAACCCCAAGCCCCCCGTCCACGGCGCCCTGCTCTTGGCAAGAGGCCGGCACAGGCCCCGCCCCCTGGCTGGGCGCCGTGCCCGGAGCAGCCATCGTTCATCCGGAGGACGGACACCATATTGTCTCCCTCAGATTTAGTGTCCATTCTCCCCGGGGTCCTTACCTCCCTCCTCAGTCTATTAGTCTGATTAGATACACAAAGGGTCGGCCAAGCCCACCGTGTGTGTGTGTGTCTGTGTGTGTCTGTGTGTGCATGTGCGTGTGTGTGTGTCTGTGTGTGCATGTGCGTGTGTGTGTGTCTGTGTGTGCATGTGCGTGTGTGTGTGTGTCTGTGTGTGTCTTCTCAATCAAAAGTTTAATAAACAGCCTCCGAATAAAACAAACTCATTCTACTTTACATCTCAAGCAATTTGGAGCCGTTTGTGAGCGAGACGGATGGACTCAAAGAGCCTGACACAATATTGGTGTGTGTGAGTGTGTGTTGGGGAGAGAGAGAGAGAGAGAGAGAGAGGGAGAGAGGGGGGGGGGGAGAAGATAATTGCCCTATCTTTCTGTCTGCCCGTCTAAAAGATAAAAGTTAGGGCCCTGATTTAAGGAGTGTGTTAGAGTGTGACAGTCAGTGACTCGTAAAGTCACACACACACGTCGTAAAGCTCCCCGACGACTCCGCCCACACACACACACACACACACACACCGTAAAGCTCCCCGACGACTCCGCCCACATAGAGGAACACACACACACACACACACACACACACACACACACACACACAGGATGTACCATTGGGGATGAGAATGCCTCCCAGCATGGTGCCAAACACAATGCAGAGGGTGATCATCTTGAAGCGCAGAGGAGGCATGTAACCCCCGGCAGCAAACGTCCCGTCCTTCTGCTGAGGGACGAGGACAAAGACCAAAATATTACACTCACAGTTGGATTGGGCTTTTGTTCTAGTTTCTTCTCAGCGTTTTCCTCATTTCTCATCATCGCCAACAGCAGCAGTGAGTACTACCAGTCTGCTTTTCACCTAAAACAACCAGCAGGGATTCTTGTCTCTGATCCTGGTTCCCACTAGAAAAACCTTCAATAACGTAGAGGCTGCGTTGCATTTTCTTCTAAACCACAGCGGGAACTGGGCTTCTCGAAGGACTCTTTAGAGGACTCTTTAGAGTCCTTCGACATCTCGGGGGCGATAAAAACGTCTGAGTTCCACAGCTTGTGTTTCCAGGGGACTCTATTGAATGTAGCAACGTGCTCCTGCAAAACTGCTTCAGAGACGGTGGGACGATGGTAAAAAGGCATCGGGTTACACCGGCTTTTATTATTCTGATCTACAGTATGTTTGATCCTGCACACACTGGCGGGGGAGGGGGTGGGGGGGGGTTACCTGCTGCTCAAAGAGCATGGTGTTGATGGCCTGCCGGCAGGGCAGGATCATCATGGGGAACCCTACGGCCACAGACATCATGAAGCCCACGCGGATCATCCCCGTCACCGGGTTGGAGGGGAAGTTCATCAGCACGTTGCCCGCGATGTTCTCCGTGAAACTGACGTAGCCGAAGAATCCCACCTGGTTTCAGAGGGGCGGAGGCGACCTCAGCGACGTACAGTTAAGACGACGCCACAGAAAGCGCCCCGTGACGGGCGCGCTGCCACTCACGGTGATGTAGAAGACGGTGACCACGTTGAGGCTGGAGGTGAAGATGGTGCTCATGCGCTTGACGGAGGGCTCGTCCAGGCTGTCGTAGGTCGGCAGCACCTGCCTGCGACAGAGAAGCAGCCCAACAAACACACACTCGGCGTGCTGCGTGACACAAACCCTGAAGTGACCGTTTGTCTATTGATCGGTTGATTAGTAGTTATTCCTTTCGAAACTGGGCCCCCAGCAGCCACATGGAGTTTAGTCCAAATATCAATCAACTAACAATTACTTTACTGACGTTTTGTGTGATTGGCAGTGGGGGGGCAGAGTGAGGAGGAAGCGCCTGTCTGTAGAGTCTGCTGTCCCCCGCAGCCTCATCCCTCGGTCTCCCTCGGCCATATCGTGGGGGGGGGGTCTGCAGATTAACCGGCCCCGTTAATGGCGTTGTATATAACAGCGAGGGCCTGGCAGCTTTTAGAGCATTGTAAACTTTGGTGGCAGACTCTTTGTGCTCAGCTCCTCTCTTCCTCCAGCTCCCTCGTCCATGTGTAAAAGGACGGAACGGAGACACGAGAGAGAGAGAGAGAGAGAGAGAGAGAGAGAGAGAGAGAGAGAGACTTCCTCTCATCCTCTCTTTGCTTTTACGAGCAGGCTGTCTGTGGCGCTTTTGCTTGACGCTTGTTTAATCCGCTAACCAGTAAATCTCACGGCCAAGGTGAAAGTAAACGGCATATTGTAAGTGGGGAGTAAAACATCCAACGTCCACTCAATAGTCCCGACTCACAGGCTAATGTCTTTTTGCTCTAAATACGACCGAGGAAGCCTTCAAAGCCACCGTGTGTGTGTGTGTGTTGGGAGGGCTGGAGAGTGCGCTCTGGATAACAGGGACGTTAAGTCATGTTTCAGCTAAAAGTTAACACGCTTCATGTATGAAAGGTCCAACGCGCTGATCAGTGGTTTGGCTTCAGCCGGCTCACAGTGCTCCCCCCCCCCCCCTCACTCAGCACAGTGAGCAGGAGCCCACGCGTGAACACCGCTCACCTGCCAACGAAGGCGTCCACGATGCCACGTCGGCTTCGTGCTTCTACATTAAAGTCTCCTTGGAGTCACCAGATACCCGCCGCTCACCTCACTCTCCCTCCCACTGACAAACCCACCATCTGACCCCTAACGGCTTCCACAATAACGCTGCTTGTGACCCCCCCCCCTCCAGCAGCGCATCCACATCCGATGAGACTGCGTACACTCAGAACGCCTTCGAATGCAGAGGACAAAGAGGCCTCATGAGCGACAGTGGAGAAATCGATGAGCTGGGGGGGCTGATAGATGTCACATGTCGGTGTGTTTAGCAAAGAAATCTTAATGTATCTACAGTAATTGCCAGAATAATTAGGTCTGATATTTTTGGTTGATTTGATTATAATGTTTTTTTTTCCAGGGAAACAGATGATCTGACAGGCGAAAGCACAGAAGCAAATAAAGGCGGCTTCCTACAAGCTCGTCTCCACCACACCCGTGTGCGTCTTTACAAACTCCACCTAAACCCTCCACCCGGGCTTAAAGCAACTGCACCACTTTCTACATGCAGCTATTCAATTCTCTGTGGAAAGTTTGACCATTCATCCACCCACCCACCCCTGTGGTTTGACATTAGTTTTTCATGGTTCTGTTCGGGTGGAGGAGCGGGAAGAGTACTTACGACTGACAGGCGAAGGCCATCCCACAGATGGGGAGACAGCGAAACACCCCCTCCCAGCGCACCACTCTGACCTGCCCTAGCCACCAGCCACCGAGCAGCCCATGATTGAACGAGGACAGCACCACCTGAGGGGAAGGAGGGGTGGGGGATGGGGGGGTTACGGCCCGAACCAAATGAGGATGTGTGGGGGCACGAGGAAGAGAGGGGGAATGGGGGTGGGGGGGCGGCACCCATGCTGGCGGCTCACGGACAGATAATGAAGGTAATCAATGAGGACAGAAAACCAGAGGAAAATGAAGGAAGGGAAACAAGAGACAGGACAGGAATCCGCAACGGAACATAGAACCCGTCCGAGCGGCACGACGACATGGAGCCATGAAGGTGACGTAGAATCACAGTGAATGTAAATGTGATCCCGATGAAAGAAAACGGCCCAACAGGTTCGTGATCAGCATGCGTTTCTCACGACTTGCTCCTTTAATTACCTGACAAGAGATCCAGAGGACAGCAGAATCCCTCCACAACCCCACCCACACTAACCCGGGTGTGGGGCGGTGGTGGGTGGGGGGGTGGAGCACAGCGAGCGTGAAAACGCCCACATTAAGAGGTTACACTTCTCTGCGTTGCCACAACTGCCACCGAAAACACACACAGACACACTCACAGCTCAACGGGCTCGGACCGAACCCAGACTGGACGGTGGAGAAATGGCGATGGCTGAGGAGTGGGCGAAAGGAGGAAGTTGAGAGGGGCTAAAGGAGCGCGAGGGTGCAGGGGAGACTTCTGGCTTCTTTCTTTTACGGCCCCCACGGGCGGGCCTCAGGGTGTTGTCATTGTGGGGTGGTTTACTTACGGGTGACAGCAGAGGTTTGTGGCGATAATGGGAAGGCCCAAAATGACGCCCTTGAAGCGCCACAGGTGAACCCGCTCCACCCAGGAGCCTGAGATAATCCCGTAGCGCAGAGCCGCCAACTCTTTCTACAGCAGCAGCACCAGAAACAGCGGTGGGATAGAGGGGGGTGGGGGGGGGGAGCCGAGGAGGCGGTCGGGGGGGAGTGAGGGAGGGCGAGAGGTAAGGAGGAGGCGAAAGAAGAAAAGAGCAAAGAGCAGAAGTGACAAAACGAAGAAGAGGATGAAAGAGAGGGAGGGGAAGGAGATACATCACTGTTAGAGGGTTAGGGATGTGGACCGGGCCTGGAACTACCACGGCGCCGCGCTACGCCCGCGCTACCGACCACACGCTAGAGAGGCCGCGAGCGGCAGTGAGCGCTCTGCGGAAGCAGCAATACGGGTCAGTAGAACAGAACCACACACACACACACAAAGGATGTGTGTGTCTTTAATGAGTAAACTGAATCCCACGAGGCAGAAAACTCCGGCTGCACCGACCCGCTGGAGTCACACGTTGTAACGCGTCGCACACCCCCCCCGACGCGGCAGAAACCCACCACAGCCGAGGGTTTAGTGCGGCTCAACGTCGGACACAAACGCTCCAGCGTGGGACGTCTGTTTGGAGAGAGACGTGCGAGCTGCTGCTAATACTGAGGGTTAGGGTGAATATGGTGGCGGTTATTATATGTTGATAATAAAGCCTCATCCTTGTCATTACTGGTTGGAGTGTGGTCAGAAGACCTTGATTCAAATGTTTCACAGAAAGACACAAATCCGACATCAACAAAAGGTTGAAGCAAGGAAAATATGGCAAAAGAAATCCTTAGATGTGTCCGATGTCTAAAAATTAATTACGGTTACCATTAAGCACGCAATGCTGATTGAGGGGGACAGGAAGGTATTAACCAATGGAAATATGGTGCTGATTTAATATAAAAGTATTCCCTAACAGCATGAGTAATTTGAGATGCTGTACAAAGAGTTGACTGGTCAAGAAAAATAAGTTGTTTGACAGATTAATATCTGGCAGCAAATAGGGAATAATAATACCCTTAAGTTTTGGTTTAGTCGACCATGTGACCTCCATTTACTTTGCACTTAGTGCTTAGAATGTCTCTCGTGGCCGTTTCCAAGTGGTGTCTCCCTCTCAGGGGAAAGACTTTGTTCCAGCCCATAAAGAGCAGCAATAGTTTTCTGCCTGGTGTGATTTAGTGTGACTCTTTAAAAAAAGAGGAGCAAGAAAATAATACGTCAGTAAGGATGATATTGTTCTGTAACGTGGAGCGAATTAAGAGAAATTACACTGAATGCCACCAAATAACACTTTCACAACATTATGAAAATCATTTGACGTGATAAACAAACCGTTAGTGAAAACGTGTGTGTCGGTGGGCTCACCGTGAACATGAAGAAGGTGTAGAACATGAGAGCCATGGCGGAGAAGGACTGGATGGAGGACATCATGTTCCTCTGCAGACTCAGCGGGAGGACGATGAACAGAGACACGGCGATCAGCAGCAGCACGCGGAAGATGCCCGTCACCTTGAGAGGAAACGACAACACAGCATTGAACCTTCAGACATTTGTAACAGTGTTTTGGGGAGAGCGAAGTGACGGATTTGAAACAAATCGCTCAAAGATAAAGAGATGAACGTAAGAAACGATGATCTCACACCTGTAAACCCAACAGCTGAGCGAAGAAATTTGAGCCCAGATCAGCGATCACGACGTAGAAGGCAATGCAGGTCCCCAACATCAAACCAATCATACTACAGGGGGGAGAAGGGAAATCTGGGTTATGTCATTATGTCAAGTGTCTATGGTTTGGAAATAAATCATTTTTGTACAAATGATGATTATCTGTGGAAAATGAAGCCAGAATGTACAGTTCAAATACAGCTTAATGTGGTGCAAGTGGTGAACTAGTGAGAACACTTGCCTCAGCTCCACCACGGTCTTCCCTGGTTTCCCGTATGCGTGGAAAGCTGCAGAAGGTGGAGGGATGTGATTAAGTCGAGTTTCCCTTTCTTCGGCCGGTACAACCGTATCCGTCCACTGAGTCACGTTGGTCAGTGACAAACACAAAGATGCAAACTCAACACTACTTAAACTCACCCAATCCTGCATAGGTCCTTCTTTTGGTGCTGCTCGCCGTGTTGACCAGGAACATGCACGACTTGTGGGTCATCCAGGAGCAGAAGAACAGAAGGAGGGTTCCCAGCACTATCCCGCACTGCAAGAGAGGACGGGACACACACACACAGAATCTTACCCCGACTACAACGTGCAGAACAAGTCACGTTAAGTAGACGAACCACGAGGATACACGTGAAAAGGCTGCAACATTAAATATGGAGAATTTATCCGCACAATACTTCTGTTGTGCTGAATTTAGTTTATTTCCAGACTTCATGTTATTAGCATGGAGGCCCTGTACCCCGGCCCACCTGTTCACCCACCTGTTTGAAGCAGAAGGGCATCGTGAGCACGCTCACTCCGACGATGCTGTTCACCACGTTCATGATGAGGCCCCAGTTGGACGCCGTCATCTCTCCCGCTCGCCGAGTGCTGCCCTCGCGGGGGGAGAAAGCGGCCCGGGAGCCGGGGCGGGGTATCCGGTCCCCGGGGCCGAAACCCGGGTGTTGTTGTTCTGACTCTTCCGGTGACGTGGCGCTGCGGGAGCCACGCGCACACGACTAGAATACGCGACACGAACACGGAGAAACCAGCACGTTAAAAAAAAAAAAAACAAGAGCGCGACGTCGATCGGCCCGTAGCCGTTAGCTTAGTTAGTAACTAGGCAACGGTCGACTGGTAACTAGGTTCACTTAGTTAGCTTGACTCACGTTTATCTGCGACGACTTGCGGTCCAGCTTACGTCATCATAGATGGTTTCCTGACATCAAACGGCCGTTCGTCGTTAAATGACCGCTCGTTGGTGTGTGTGTGTGTGTGTGTGTGTGTGTGTGTGTGTGTAAGCAACAGGTTAACGGAACCTTGTTCAAAACACCGAGCCGAGGTGCGCTGTTCTCTCCCCGCAGCGCGTATCCAGGAAGTGGAGGTCGGCGTCGAGGAAGTGAGGAGACAAACGGCTGCAGAGGCGCTCGGGCGCCCCCGAGTGGCCGCTTCAGGTCACTTCAGGTCACCAGCACCACCGGACAGCCAAAACACAAACTCCGCGTTCCTTCTCTCGGTACTTTCTGCTAGCTTAGCAACCGGTCGGGCCCCGGACGATGCTAACGGCGACGCCACGAGACAGCACTTCGGCCGTCCGACTTCTGAACCATCCCGCGCGGCCAATGGGAGCCGAGCATCCGCATGACGCGGACAGAAGCACCGCGTCATGCTGGGGCGGAGGCCCGGGCTGACCTCGGAGCTGGTGCTAATCCCCCCCCCCCCCCCCCCGGGTGAGTTGCCCGAGAGAGTTGCCCGTCGGTGCGTGGTGCGCCCCGTTTGAGCCTTAAAAGCGGAGTGAATCCATAGAATAAAATGAACACTGCGTGGTTTTACTCTGGAAAGCCACGTGTCTGCAGCGTGAATAAGTTCATCTTAAATTCATAAGCTGCACTCGGTGACTAGGAATCAGGTTTGTGCTTCCTGCCCCCGGAGTGTATTGTTGCAGTAATGTGGTGTAGTACCTGGTGCACGGATCAATCTCTACAGGGGTTGATCTGCCGATCAGACAGCAGCAACCACCTTACGAGGCTCATCTTCCATAAGCAGGTGTTCCAGCCCTAAAGTGATGTTGGGCCTAATCTACATGGACCTGTTGAAATACACATCAAATAAATCAAGACAGCCTGAGGAAATAATTAAAAAAACGGGAGGTCAAATCAAGCAAAAATGACTTGACTGCTGTATAAATGCTCAGCGTGCACGGAATCCAAAGTATAAATCATCCGTTTGTGCTTTATTTACCCCCAGAAATATTTCTTTAAATATAATTGATAAAGGCACGAATTGGGGAAAAAGATTTATCCTTTGATCCTCTGGAGGGTCTGAACTCTAACTTGGGAACAGCTTGACAAAACATGCTCTGATCTAATCATTTATTTATTTATATATATATATATATATATATATATATATATATATAATCATACAACAGTCCCATGGGCAAGACTACTTTTACGTCTTTAACTTTAGCCACATGTTGCTAATACTTTGAATGAAGTGCTTCTGCCTGTAATTGAATGTCTTAAAACCCACATGTTCTGTTGCTATTTTTACTTAACTAAAGGACCCGACAAGTTCCCCCCCCCCACCGGCAAACTCTGTAATCATAACAATACCAGCCTGCGCGCATGAATCCTGTTTTTCCAGATGCCACAGCCATTCTCTTCAGGAAAGGGAAACAGGCAACGGGGGGGTGGGAGGTGTCTGCTGGGGGGGGCGACAAAAAAAAAACCCTAAAACAGAACAAATCGTCATAGAAAAATGACGTCATAGAAAATGGCCCCAACACCTGAGATGTTGTATGTTGGGTTTATTTCAGTCATGGAGCTTGTCCGGTGCCCTCTCCCATAGACGACCATTGTGTTGTTTGACCAGGAAAGAGAAGAATGAGAGGGTTGGTGGGGGGGGGGGGGGGGTGGACTCCGAGCTTTCTCCTCGGCCGGGGGTGCTCCCCCCCGGGACCCGAGGATTTTCCGAAGAACAGACGCGGATGAAGGCTTTCGAGGCGGGACAGGGGGCGGATTTAAAATGGATAGAAACGCGTGTGTGTGTGTGTGTGTGTGTGTGTGTCTGTGTGGCAGGATTGTAGAGTCTTTTGCATTCTTTTGAATCATCATAAACTCTTATTTATTAACTTAAAATATGTTTTCATTTTTTAATGTTGTACATTCAGTCTTAATTCTTTTTTTTTTGTTGCATTTAACCCTCCCGGAATTCTTTTCCCAGCTCAGCCTTTTACTGCAGCGATTTTTAAGCGCTGTTTATTGACATTGCGTGTGCGTGCCTATGAGTGTGTGCGTGCACATGTGTGTGATCAGAGAGGTTAAGACAGGAAAACCCTGGCCATTGTGCACCGGTGACCCCTCAAAATCAATGTGACAGACCGGTTGATTGGCTGGAGGGTCCCGTCTCTCTGCACCTAATCCCTCAAGGTAGACCCTCAGCCAGGCCTACTGCGCCCCGAGTGTGTGTGTGTGTGTGTGTGGATGTATCCGTGCTTGTATGCGTGTCTTTCTGCACCTAATCCCTCAAGATAGACCAAAGGCCACGGGATGGGGTATTAGTGCAGTTACAGGGGGTCAGGCCAGAGAGTGTGTGTGTGTGTGTGTGTGTGTGTGCGCACTACTCCAATTAGGCCACAGAGTACCGATGTATTTCTATGGGACTCGATCATGTGTGGAGGTAGTGGTGGGTTTTAGGGGGTGGGGGGGGACGGGAATTTTAGGGCAGATTTGGACCGATAACCCAGTTTGGGCAAAATTAGACTCCGGCATCTGGATTTGACCTCGGGCCCTCAACGCGGTCCCGGGGGTCACTCAGGGGTCGCGGGGCACAAAGCTGAGCGCTGACCCGGCACAGGTCAAGCATGCGGGCGGCTGAAAGGACGCCTTTGTGGGGGCTGGCATGCTCACTATTTCCCATGAGCACCAGGGGACCGTGTCTGCCCAGGAAACTGGAGCGGGGAGACAGTCGAGGTGTGTGCGTGCGTGCGCGCGTGTGTGCGCGTGTGTGTGGAAACCATAATTGATTTTTGTTTATAAGTTCCTGCTTGTTTGCTTGTGATTATCACTGAATGAAGGTCGCAGTTGAGCCTGATTTTTATTTATTACCGGGGAATGTGTTTATTTCTTGTGCTTTTCGGAGGGCGGGGCTACAGGTGGAAGCCACTCCCCGTGGCCCGGCCTTCAACGCTCCCTTTCAAACGCGGTCATGCCGCCCTGCGCGCCCGAGAAGTCGGCACTGTGGAGACGTCTGTCCGTGCGGCGGTCAGACAGACACGGCACGCACTCCGAGGTATGCTTGCGGTCGTTGCTCGTGTACATCTGTTAGCGCCTCCTTAATGAGGGCGTGCACGCCGCCTGCAGTCCCGTGTGTGGCCCTCAGAGAGGGAGAGAGGAGCCCTCTGCTCCAGTAATCACATTTAATTACGCAGCAGCATTAGACGGCCTATGAATGGGGTTTTTAGGCAGGCCCCTCGCACAGAAATTGGCTGCATCCAGCCGAACATTGGCCACCTTTGTCCTGCCCGTCCCACTATATTCTATTAACACTTTGTCATATGACCATCAGCGAAGCACCACGGCGCAGCACTAACAACCGCCAGACTAATGCCGCACATTAAAAAACGGCGACGGCGAAAGGGGACAATGGGCGATTTCTTGGCTGAGTGGCTCGCGTCTGCCCCATTAACGAAGCAAAAGGACCACACATTA